ATTTATGGAATCAAGGACCATATGATTCTCAAAGAACTTCCTGCTCCTCTTCATTTTACTTACAGCTGCTCCCAAATTATTACCAATACTTTTGGAAGCCAAGGAGAGGAAACAAAATGATTGTTAATAGACCACTCTTGTTTGTTTCTCTAAGTCATACAGATTATCATGTGCTTAGTAAATTGCCTCAAGACAAACCTGGCAAAAGAATGCTATTGTCACACCACAATAGGGTTCTTTTAGAGTTTCTCAGACCAAAGCAAAGAGAATCCACTAACATACAAAAATCACTTGCCTGGATACAAGAGAAAATTTACCAAGATGATATACATCTGAGGCAGCTGTTAAACAGAAAGCATAATGACTTCGACGTTTATAAAGGTATATTTCGCTTCCTCTGAGGCTTCTCCAAGTCACAAAGTCTGACAGCGTGGGCTAAGTTGGGTGAGCCTTGTAGGGCTCCGCAAGCAGCTTCAAGGTTATGAAATGGATAATGTTGACTTTGCATTGTAACTAAGATTTATAAAAATTTTACCTTGACTCTTAAAATAACAGTAAACTATTAAGGTTTATAAAAATTATACCTTGACTACCAAAACAGGAATAATTAAAAGCTGACATTCTACTATATAATGGTTTAATAAACAAAGTCTTCTCTTTCTTTTAATATATGTGGCTCTGCAGTTTCTACCTACATCATTATTCCTTTTTATCATTAATTCTCCCCTGCAGATTTCATTTTGACTTTTCATCTCTGTTTTATTTTCCTTATTTTTCAATTCTTTACTACAAAATCTTTTCAACTCATATAATTACTATACTTTCATTAGAAATGAATTACCTAACATAAGAGTAAACAATACCCAATAATACCATCTTTATAAAATTCAACTTTAGATAGACTTTTAAAAATCTCAATAGAATTTCCAAAGCTTTCAAAGAAAATCCCTCAATAGAATAATAAAGGCTTACTGCCAGTACTTGATATTCATAGAAGTAGCATAAATCTTAAGCCTAAGGCAAAGAACTTCCACTGCTTCGTAACACACTGCAAACAGAAAATGGCATAAATAATCTTAGATTGGCGATATGTCAACTAAATCTCATTAAAAAGCTAGCTGGGATTCTCATTGAAGTCTATGCTGTTCTGCTCAAACCACTTCATCTTCTTCCCTCTCCATTTGTTTTATGACATTTAACAGGCCCCAGTGATACCCCCTCAAAAGACTGCCTTTCTTAAAAGATAAAAATAGTATTCATATTTGTTTCAATGAAAAACATGAATTCTTATTTTCATTTTGAAAGGATATTTTGATGGCAATTTATAGACACTTGAGAGAGTAAGAAATGGCACTTTGTCCAAAAATATAAAGCAATCTTTTTCAAATATGAGGAGAAGTCGTTTGAATAGGGTTTGGTAGTATCATCAATCACTGTGACTTTGCTACTAGTACGCTGGCCGTGGTGGGATGCCTCTGTGTGTTGGTCGTATGACAGAAAATCTACTATAATGTACACAGCAAGCTCACAAGTTAGGTATCATCTTCTCCACCTGAAGAGGATGAAATCAAAGCTAACCAGGACTCTGTCATTAGCTATATCTGACCTAAGATCTAAAAGCTGACTCAATTTAGACACTTGCTCTGTCTATGAAGTGACATCACTTTGTTATCAACAATAGCTACTAGTACTTCCTAAATTAACAGAGGGAATACTTGGTATAGTTCCAGAACTGATCAATCACACACAAACCTATACACACATATGACGTATCAGAAACTACTCCAAATATACGTATAAGTATCATAAAATACATATGTTGGGTAAGTTCAATTTTAAAGCTCATGATGAAGTTTAAACGACAAAATCATTACATCAAAAAATCCCAGTAAGAAGTCAAAGCTTGATCTGTTAGCAAGTGAGATGCCTAGTGAGGCAAGCGGAAGCCAGTCTTGGTCTAACATGGTACGCCTTCTGTCAAAGTACTTCCTCACCTTGGCAAGTTGCTCCTTGAGCCTGGACATGGTTGCAAACATTTCATTAGCCTCTTCCTGGGAGCTTTCTTTGGCAATGAGGTGTGCCGTCTTTGTGATCATCTTGTACTGGGCATCCATCACAGGCACTCTCTGCTCCACATCCTGCATGAACCACAGAACAGCTCCATGAACACAGGGCACATCTCCTTTTAATGTCAGGATTCTGCAGAAGGCTGGACAGAACTCATTATGCACTGCATAGAAAGTTCTATGTTTATGCTAAATGTTTGAAGATTCAAGTTTTTGCATTCCTTAATTACTAATATAACGTAATAACACACTAAGGTATCCCTGTCTCAAAAACTCATAGCTTTTATGAAAGATCTATGTTAGTATCTGTTTACCCTAACTGGAAGAAATTCAAATGTTATTTGCTTCTATGCCAAGGTGAAGAGTGCAAATAGCACATACAGTGTTGTTTTTTTTTAAGAGCTGTTCTAGAGAATCGGCATCTGAGTGTTTATCATCTCAGTCCCACTTTTGCTGTATGTTGTGCTCCTGGACATTGCATGAGTTATTGGGGATGTCTTGGTAGGTTACTTTTTGTATCTGGGACTACCCCAAAATGTTCACATAGCAATGTATGGTCATTTCTTTTTCAGTTTATACCATTTTAGCTCAAGAAAGTTTTCATAGGAACATTCTACTTTTGAATAGTGGGGGAAGCCTGTATACTTTCTACTGGAAATTCATGTCAATAAAAGCAATCCTTTAAAAGTTACCAAACTCTTTTAGTTAACATAAAGATAAGCTGAAGGAATCTTCAGATTTTGAAAAAGTAAGTACTACTATAATACATAAATATTGTTTCAGGTAAATGCATGTTAACAAGTTGAAATACCTACTTTGACTTTAAAAATGATAGAGCTTATTTTTTCTTTAAAAAGTAATAGATTGCCATTATGGAAAAAATAAAATTAGATACTTAGGATAAACTTTAGGATAAAAAAATATAAAATTACTTCCACTGTTCTCAACAGTACTAAATAGAGCTAGCATCTCTCTATTGTATTATTAATGCGTTTTACAATATGTATTTATACAATTTTTACCTTTAAAAAAATTCTTCTTTTGCTTTTTTTTCTCTTAATGACATATTGCAAAAACTTCTAAGTTATCAAATATTCCCCAGCTATTCCACTTATGAGAGCCACAGAGTATTCAAAATAAATAAATACACAATCATTTGGTAAGGGTGGGAGACTTTTAAGTTGCGGTGTTACATACACACATCTCCTATTTTCTCCTGTTTTATATGTTGATTATACAAAGAGTCTCCAAATTTAAAAAGCTATTCTGAAGTAAATTCAAATGTGTATTTTATGAGAAGCAGAGATCAAGATATTCACAAATCAAAATGATGTCATGGAGACATTAAAATAGCTTTTACGGGCCCTCCCTGGTGGTGCAGCGGGTTAAAGCATAGAACTAAGAAGCTAACGTCACTTCAGCATGAGTTCAATCCCAGCCTGGAGGTGACCCACATGGCACGGCAGACCTCTCCTGACCCACCCACTGCTCCCCTCAGCAGTGGACTTCATCACTCTGCCTGTTCTGCTTCCCACTCTGTCTCTGGTGAATCCTCTCACTGTCCCTGCACCTCTGGCCTATAACCCAGCTCTGTATTAATAAATAAATAAATCTTTTAAAAAACATAGCTTTTACAAAAATCTGAGTCATTTTGCAAATCTTCACTTTCTTAAAAAATAAGTTTTCACCTTGTAGCCCAGAAACCCCCTCACCTCCAACTCTTGAATTAGTAATTTTACATTAATAAAAGAGACTTCTAAGGGCTCAGAAAATTTCCTTTGGGCTTCAGTTGCAAAATCAGACAAGGTACTAATGCAATCTGTGTATTCTTTCTTCATTCTGTCCATCTCATCAGCTCGAGCATACTGTTAAGAAAAGGAAAACAAGAGGAAAAAAATGAAAAGCAAAGGAAAACAACATTGAAAACCAGTCAGCTCAGATGCAGGAAGCCTGAAACCTTCACCTATCTACTTTAGAATTCTTAAATGATAATCAAGGGTCCTCCCTAGTGGCGCAACAGGTTAAAGTACAGCACTATGAAGCCATCTGCAACCACCGCAGCATGAGTTTGACCCCCGGCCAGCAAGCTGACCCACATGGCATAGACCTCTCCTGTCACCCCACTGCTCCCCTCAGCAGTGTATTTCAGTGGATCTGCCTGTTCTGCTCCCCTCTCTGTCTCTGGTGAATCCTCTTAACTCCCCACCTCCGGCCTATACTATAGTTCTTGTACACATAAATAAATAAAGCTTAAAAAAAAAAGTAATAAAGGCCATTCTTCTTATCTAGCAGCAAATAATTTTGATTTGAAACTTAAGAGACCTCATGTATGTCAATATTATCCTTAACCCAACTACACATTGCTGTAAAGCTCCTTCATACCAATGGAAAAAAATAAAGGACCAGATATAAACATAACAGTTCTAAACACATCTGGAGTCTGCCTTAATAAACCTCCACTACAACAACAAAACACTCTCTAAACTGCCTATTGTGACATTTATAACACATATGTGTGCTAGGAGTAGACAGATTTGAAGAAATACCTGCTTGACCTCCATAAACAACTCTCTCCAGCGCCCATTCAGCAGCAGCAACTGCTGCTTAAGATCTCGGGAAACCATCTCGTCACACGTCTCAATGAGAAAATTGCCAGCATCATTCATGGCAGTGTGTTGCTGGATCCAGTGAGGCAAATTTCGGAAAAAATCCTAACCAATAAACAATGCACACTGATGTAAACCCATACAGCAATACCTGATAAATGACATGAAAGTGACCAGACTGAGAAATATCTTTGCAATTAAGTTTATTCAAATTTTAAGGGAAAGCTCCATCACAATGCAACATTTTAATAAAACTTTCAAAAATATGAACCAACTTCCGAGTGACTTTATAAGAGCATCTATGTCCTATCTTTTGTTGAAGACAAAACAAAACATAGTGATCATCTTCTGTTATTTGTACTTTATAGATGAATAAAAGCTGAATTTCTAGGAGCATAAGGGGCTTGCATATAGTCTCCCGATAGACTTAACACCAATAACTGAGATACAGAAGAGGTGCCATCTTTTATGGAAATGCACATCTTCTTTTTAAAAAAAATGATAAGCAAAATTTGGTCCTATTAGTTTTTATCTTAAAACATGAATATCATTTATCAAGATAATTAACAAGTAAGAAAATAAACCATCAAAAATTAAGTATCTGGACCAATATCCTCCTTCCTCATGTGTTTGAGCTTACATTCTTGGCAATGAAACAGTTTCCATTTAATTTCTAGTGGAGTGTATGTGTCCATGCGCATCCCTCCCCCTACAGTGAAAACCAAAGATAGAGAAGACAATTGAGGACCCATTTCATAAGCCATATGTGGGAAGGTTTCCTACAAAAATAGATGAGAACACTTCTGTTTCTGGAGGTTATATTCTGTGGGTGAAACTAATCCAGATGACATCTACTAGGGCTCTGCTGGTCTAGTCAGAAAAGTCAAAATCTGTGGAAGTACACGGTCACTGTCATCCTCTTTTGCAAGAATATTAAATCTATTTGAAATACAGGGTGCCAATCACTTACAAATTATTCATTGTTGTATAGTGCAACAAAAGACAAACCAATTTGGGATGGCAGGTGGTACATACTACAGTTCTTAGTGAAAGTTTGGCATTAAAACATCTTTTGCATATGAATTCATTCACTAGGTTCTCATGAAGAAATAGAGAGAGAAATCAGTCCATTTCAAATGATATTTGAATGTTAGAGACATTCTCTGGCATTCAAAGAAAACTAAGTTTTGCATGAATTTATATATCTGCAACTGGAGGGCAAATATCACTCCCACCCAGGATAAAACCTTGACTGAGAGTTGATATTGTTTAAAGAAGAATATTTTCAGAGACAACTGGTGTATGATCTCTCACAGAGTCCGTTCTGTTGTAGCCAAAGTTGTGCTCATCCTGTCACACTAAGAACTCCCAGGGGCCAGGACTCAAAACCTGCCCCATAGAGCTTACTGTGACTATGGCACCCTCTGCTGCCCATGGAGTTTGGTTGACTGGCCAACAGTCATGTCATTGACCTTCTGAATGCAAATCAACACAGAGCTGATCAGAGAGAAAACAGTTCTAAGAGAACTTTTATTAAGTAATACAATTATTAGTCCACAAAAACTTAAAATCTGGGCCTTCCCTGGTGGCACAATGGGTTAATGCAAGCACTATGAAGTTATCTGCAGCCACTGAAGCATGAGTTCGATCCCTGGCCAGGGAATTGACCCACATGGTGCAGGAGTCCTCTCCTGTCTCCTCCACTGCTCCCCTCAGCAGTGTATCTCAATACATATGCTTGTTCTGCTCCCCCATTCTGTCTCGGGTGAATTCACCCCTATACCTCTTGCCTGTACCCCAGTTCTTGTATGTATGAATAACTAAATAAAAAAAAAAACTTACTAATCGAAAGCATAACTTTAAGGGCAAAGTCAAGATTTGTGTATCACAGTTGAAATCTGAAACATTCAGTAGCACTATCCTACTGCATAAAAATCTATTTCTCAAATACATACATATATATATATATATATGCAAGTGTTTTACCTTTTTGGCGAGTTCTGACTGATTGAGCATTTTCTCGGCATCCTCGAGCCAAGCTTGCAGACTGGCCACCGTGTCGTCATAGCGATCCCAGTTGGCGATGACCTCCTCAAGCATGCTCCTCACGCTCCTCACCTCCACGGACAGGTTCCTCCACTGGGCAGTGGTGTCATTCATGAACTTCATCACGTTCTCAGCTTCTTCCACTGCCAACAGATTGCAGCAAGTGGTATGCTTCTTTTATATCTTAAATCCACTGTGCCTTTTCTCTATGCTCTTATATACTGTTGTGCATTACAGCCTTTCTTAAGGTTATAAAGTGAACTGAGGTTAACATTAAATTTCATTCAGCTAATGTTCAGAATAACAGCAACTTTTTCACAGGTGTTGATAATAATGAAGATAATAATTATTTAAGACTCCTGGTAAATAGGAAGCAGTAAATGACATTTACGTATTTGATCATATTTTATATACATTCAAATCCGTGAACATCTATGTAGCAGCTATCACAGATGCTGTGACTCTTCCAGCAAATATGATCATTTACAAACTGAAACAAACATATTTTTATATCTTGTGTCTTTGCACTAATGAAAGTTGTCATTCACTTGATGATAACATTCAAATGAATCCATTCTTGGTATTTCATTTTCATAATGGAAAATGCATTAGGAAATTGTAATTTAGAAATGAATGCTTATTGCTCTCTCTTGGAAGATCTCTCTCTCTCTCTCTCTCTCTCTCACACACACACACACACACACACACACACACACACACACACGAGAATAATCATGCAGGTTATGCATCACAAAGGGCCCAGGGGTCTGAATTCAGTTTTGCTCTCCAGACCAATAGTATAGTCAAAAACAGTCAGCAGAGGGGGGATGATTTAATCATACAGAAATTGTGCTGTATTCAACAGTGCAGCTCATTCTGTCACATTTTTACCTGAACCATCAGCTTTGACGTACATCTCAGCTGTCTGTTTCAAGATCTGGTATGTCACTTCATATTGCTCAAAGAACTTGCTATTTTCTATAAAAGACTAGAAAAGAAGGAACAGTTAGAAGGTGGTGAACACTAGGCTTATGAAAAATGGCAAAGTCAAGTTTCTTCAATGTAGATATGGATAAACCAACTCACTTCCTAAAATATCAAATTAATTCCACTGCCACAAGTAGGCTAAGATTATTCTGAGCAGATAGATCAATCTACATGCTTAAATCTAACTCAGCACTCATCTGAGAAAATCCTCTCTTCTCCACGCAAGGATCTTTTTTAGAAGAAAGAAATTTCCCCAGAGGACTAGAGTTCACATTTAGAAAGCTCTAAATTTAGAAGAATGCTTTGAAGTGTCCTACTGTGCTTAGATGTGGATTCTGTTGTTCTTTGAACTTGAATTCAGGTGAATGATGGCTCTGAAGAACTTCAGGATATAAATAAATGAGACATTGCACAAACTTTCCCCCAAATAAAAGGGAAGTACAAAAATGTTAGTAGGGAAAATCTCCAATAAATTGCATATTATACCCATCTTACCTATGGTCTAATATTTCTATTTTTAAATATAAAAATTATAGATAAGACACATAGACCTCCAACACTATATTATTTATATTTGTGCTACAATCAACACCAGCAAATAGCTAATGTAAAATTGAGAATAGATGAAAAATTCTTAGGTAAGTTTTATTATTGTTAATTCTATGAAATATAAAATACTCCTGTTCCAAAGGCTGTTCATACTCCTCCAAAGTAGAAAATTAACACAATTATAGGAATAACATATCATCATCAAAGGCTCTTTAACAGCATAATTAGTTTCTAAGATTTGAATCCACAAGAATACCTGATGTGTCATATTATTATAAAATGCAAAATTGGCCTTCAAAACCCACCGTAAGTTTTGTATAGCACACGGATGCATGCCTAAGAGCAAGATGCAAATGTTGGTGTGCAGAGTCAAGCCTCCCCATGCAGCGATTCCATAGAAACCCCTACATCTATTAATAAATGCTTATTATATTTCAAGAAAGACTCAAAAATATGGTATGTAGAATGCATTTCACATCATTATGTGATTCTAGAACCTTTTACTTAAGTATCAGCTACTCTTCAGTGACATAGTAAATAGAGACAACGGTGCATGACTGAGGATGAGCACGGCCAGGGATACTTTACTCAGTATTTTCATGGGCTGTATTTTTTTAAAGATTTATTTGTTCATACAAAGATTTATTTATTCATAAATCTTTTTTAAAGATTTATTTATTCATACCCCTCTGGGGTACAAGCCAGAGGTGCGAAAAGTGAGGCAGATCTACTGAAATACAATGCTGAAAGGAGCAGCAGGTGAGCCAGGAGAGGTCTGCTGCACCATGCGAGTCAACTCCCTGGCCGGGGATTGAACTCGTGCTTCAGTGGATGTGCCAGCTTCATAGTGCTGTGCTTTAACCTGTTGTACCACCAGGAAGGACCATAGACAGTATTATTTGTATGAGAATAAAATAAGATAATAGTAGTCTAGTTCATTCATTATTTAACCTTACAGCTCACTTAATCTCTCCCTGTTTCCCAACTGGGGAATGAGCAATTTTATATAATATGGAGTGATTTAACCAAGTAAACAAGGTAGGATTTGACCAAAAAGGAAAACCATACCTAATATGCAACATACTGTAGGAAATTGAAGAGACAGATCTATTTTGTGAAGATTAAAAATTAGTATCCACCTAGTTTTGGCACAAATTTCAGGAAGCTAGTAGGAAAATAATTGTTCTAAGTGTTAAATGGGAAACCATGCTTATTCTGGACAGAAAGAAAATACACTTTGCTTTAAACAAATTAATTTAAAATGATCAAGAGCAACACACTTACTTTAAGTTCTGTTTTGGGTCCAGTGGGGGAGGGGAAGGGCATTATGGGGAGAGAATGTATAAATGTCGTCAGGACTCAGTACAGTATTTCTGAGCTTTGCAGGAGGCAGATAGGTAATTAATTTTTAAAGAAAAACACCTTAGCTGTCATTTAAATTGCTTCATTAATTTTGGCCTCTTTTTCTGAGTACAGAGCAAATCCATTTAGCGATATGATTTATTTTACCTATTAGAATCATTATAAATTTCCTCTTACCTTGAACTAACTACACCCAGTGTCTCAAGGAATGCCAAAGTAAACACACATGTGCACTTTTAAAAATGCCAGGATTATTTATTTTTTTTAATAAAGCTTAATTTTGAAAGTCTACAACACATTGATCAAGGGACTTTGAAAGTTGATGACACTTTAGAATAAGATACATTTTTATGCCACTAAACTCAAAATGTTAGTGGAAGAGACTCAAATTCTAGTTTCATAAGGTAAAAATAAATGTAATAAATAAGAAGCTCATCAATTTCATGCAAAGAGCCAAACCACATTATTTATGGTTAAAAAAAATTCAACTTTGAAGAGTGGTTTATTAGAATTGATCAAATAGTTGCAAATAATAAAATATTCATGTTACTGAGGTTACATTAACATAGTCCACAATTCTAAGAGCCCTTCCCTGACATAAAAGAATGAAATGCTTTTCTATTTCTTCCACAGGAAAGGCAAAGCATGGTCATGTCAGGCAGTGTTGACAGCAGGAACCAATCGCCTTCTGATTTCCATTCCAGGATGTAGTTGCTAATTACACGTGTCTCCAATAATCAGCACGCATGTGCAAGGCAGGTTCCAAGGATTCCTTAATCCGGCCCTCCCTGGTGGAGCAGTGGGTTGGAGCAGCTTCAGCAGAAGTAAGATCCCCGCCCTAGAGTTAACCCACCCCAATGGGGCAGACCTCTCCTGTCTCCCCACCGCACCCTTCAGCAGTGTACTTAGTCGATCTGCCTGTTCTGCTCCCCACTCTGTCTCTGGTGAATCCTCTCAGGGCCCTGCACCTCTGGTCTGTACCCCAGATCTATATGCATAAATAAATAAATCTAAAAAAATAAAAAATTCCTTAATCACTCAGCAGCTCAGACCTGAATGCTGCATGTAAGAGGGAAGTAGGAAATACATTCTTTAGTTATCTAAACTTCACCAAAACACTTCTTTTTTGAAGCTGAGTAAGACTGAATTCAGAATCCAGACTGAAGAAAATCATGGAACTTTTACATCCTGAAAATTACTTTGGTTATTAGAGGATATAGTAGCATATGGCTCATTACAATATGTTTTTTTAGAAACCAAGGGAAGGGTTGCATTTGAGAAACTAATTTTGTTTGAAAGCCTTCCTGCTCTTTGTGAGTTAGCATTTTGAAAGAAAATGATTTTCCCAGAAATTTGAAAAGAATGAGATAGTCTGTGGGGTATGAGATAGGACAAAAGCAAAGTACTAATTTTTATTCCTTAGAAAAATCCCCATTATTCTATTATTATTATTACCAACCATTTTGAAAGACTAAGACTTCTAGAAGCGACATTCTTTATAAATCACATGGGCAGTAAGTGACTGAGCTATGATTCAACAATTCTGAAGTGACAGGTGGCAGCCAGCAAACACCCCTGCCTCACCCCCCACCCCCAACAATCTGTTTAGAACATGACAAACAGCAGCTATCAGGTATCAGCATGCTGTCAGATGTGGGCCAGCACTAAATGGCACTCGTATTTATTCATGTGGGCTACATCCTGTACTTTGCTAACTATAAGAGATCATTTTAAGGATTTGCTCTTTTTGGTCAAAAATGTTTTTCGTGGTCAATTATGAATGATAGTTTAGTCCTTAAATGTAAGGACTTCTGATTCAGAAAAATGTGGGTTCAAATTCTAACTCCACTCAATACCAACTGTGCTACCTGTGTACAAGACTTAAAAGTTCAAAGGCTTCCTCGGGAGACCATGAGGAAGTTTCCTGCCACAGAGCTGCCGTGCGGGGTGACAGAAAATGCAGGTATTAAAACTGTTAAACACACAGACCTTAAAAACCATGTTTGGAAAAGAAGCACTTACCATCTATAGTTCTTTTACCAAGGGGTCAGAATATTCGGAAATGCTCATTCAAACCTGCTATATTTGTAGAGTAATTAACAATTTTACAAATAATTTTGAGTTACAAAGCAGTTTAAAATAGCATCATGAACTTCTCTGTACTTTATGGAGTAGGCAGAAAGTGCTGATATTTTAAAATCAGTAATAATAACTCTCTACTTACATATCCTTTATTTGAGAAATTCAGAGGATTACTAACATCATTGTGTTAGAATATTAACCTGGTGGAAGAATCCCATTAGGCTTTTTGGCCTGATTGGCTGGCCTTAAATAGCTTGAACAAGGGTGGATCCTGAATAATTACCTACTGTGCTCAGAATGTATCATTTGGTATGAGTAAACCAGAAAATCTAAAGGTATTATCTGTGATTAACATTGAAAGCATTCCTTGTAAATGAACTTTAAAATCTGGATTTTTCACTACTTCCAAAATAATTAAAAATGAGTAAGAGAATATATCATGAGAGATTTCATATTTGGGGATAAACATGTCTGAGGAAAAGATTTTACTAGAATCTTGTTCATTTTTTTTTTCAAAAGCACGTTGTTCATCACTTACAGAATGAAGTTTAAATGTAGTAAAAATAATCTGGTTTTAAGATATTTTAGGAAAGATGTTCAATAAGCATTAAAATCCCATCATTAAAATCACTGTTAGACTATTAAGCCACTCAGCTAAGAGTTTACAATTATTAACTTCTATTTAAATTGATTCATTTATTATTAGGAATCTGTGATCAAACATAAGGAGACCAGAAATGCCCTATTAACACTAACCATACCAGCACATCTGAATGACTGATCCATGGAGGTAGCAAGTTTAAAAGAAATGAGCTACCTTTAATAATTACAATTATCATCATGAGTAACTTTAAATTGTTAGTTACAGAAAACCCAATTTCTTTCATAAGGCACAACTTCTAGGTTGCTATAAGGTCCTCTATATGAATAACTCAAACATAAGATTGTGTTTAAAAAACAAGTTGGTACTGAGATTCATAGACACAATTTTATTTTTTCTGTGGGTACAGAAGAAGAAATGACCACAAAAAAGATATGATATGCTGAACCTCGTCAGATAGCCCTCTTGTGGATAATCAATTGTTTTACATTACTCATGACAGGAAGTCATGAAGAAATCTCTAAGTGTCTTAATTCAGTTTTGATGTGAGCTCACCATTAATGGCATAAGCAATCAGTGCAAAAACTTTTCATTTTTTTACAATAAATCTGTCACAGTGGTTCTATCTGATTAATTCATAAAGCCTTTCTATATCCCCAAAGCATATCAGTGTCTCTTAAACTGTGCACAGGTCACTAACACGAACCCACTTAACATATTGAGACCTCACATTCAAGGTCAAAAGTAGTGAGGGCGAACCCCAGGGGCTGACCCCAAGGGCCACTCCTCTCTGAGCAGCAGGGAGACTTACAATATAGCTTTGCAGAAGCAGCTCCACTGACTCTCTTCTCCCATACTTGATAATCCAGGACTTCAGCTTTGACTCTGCAAGAACCAGCAGTGAGAGCAGACGGTACTTTAATTCTAGAAATTCCATTTTCATTAAGTGGAGCTCTGATGTAGAGGAAACAAAATGAAACCTAGGGATAAAACGGAGAATTTACAGAATGTAACTAATAGTAACAGAAGCGTGCTTACTTAACCTGTTACACTGTTCACGTCAGCATTAAAAAAAATACAGCGAGCACATTCTAAACTCCTGCAGCGGATCAATCGCTATCTGGAGATCCGATGCCTTGTTTAAAGGCAAAACATGATTGAAGGAGGTCTCTGGTTTCGTTCTTTCCCCTGCCAACCCAGCTCTCATCTGTTTCTTTTGTAAGCTGTTTTTGCAATATTACATAATGTTCCTTACAGAACTGAATAAAAATACAGACTCTGAAGAAAGCATTTCTGTGATTTTTTTCAGGCTGTGGGTACATTCAGGGTTACACTTTTTGATTAATAACAGAATGTTGACACTCTTAGTCTGCATGATAGGAGCCCAATTCTAATGCACCTGAGTCAAGCATGGGGGGGGGGGAGGGGGATCAATTCATTGAAAAGAAAAGGCATGGAAAATGCATCCACCTAGCATTTTAAAAAGAGACTTCAGCTAAAAAGAGAGCTAGCCTTACCTCTCAGCCATGTCCTCTAACTGATCAGGATGCACTGGGATACCGTTAACAGACCTGGTCCGGTAGATTTCATGGAACGCTCTTTTGTGGGCATCAGTGTTTTGAAGCAGATCCTAAGATATGATTTAAAAAAATTTTTTTTAAATGAGGAAACGTGCTCACAGAAGGCTAAGAAGCACCATGTTCAGGCTGCAACGATGAGTCAATGTATTGAAAGGTTTCATAGAGCAGCTACACCCATGTACAGCTAGCCTGGCACCGAAGTGGCTGTTCACCTGGGGCAGAAGCCTGGCTGCGGGTCTATAAGGCCCCTTGCTAGAGCTGTATCTGATAATCATAGCATCTTTTAAACACACATGACATTTGCACAGTAATGCATTCAGACTTTTTAAAGGAACATAGTCCAAAGGAAAATAGAATCGCTGTCTTATTTGTTCTTATTTTTCTCTTTCCATCATTTAGGACTTGAGGGTTAAGAGCTTAAAACTAAACACCTAATTTAACCCTTTAGTGATTAAAAAAATCTAGATGTTGTTTTATTTTCAACGCAGGCAGGCGCTCCTAAAGTGATATTTGCTTGCCATCTAGAGTAAGTCACGCATATTACAGTAAATTAAGAAAAGACCCTCATGGCTAGAAAATTCCAGACAAGCACAGGGAATGCCCCAAAGATATCCTGGTGGGAAGATCAAATGTGATGGGGTTTAAGCACTCCTTGGAAATTGTACAGTGCTCAAAACTTTATTCAGATGAACTAGAATCCTGCCTGATTTGTTTTTTGCATTTTTTTCACTATCGACAGACTCACTTATATATGTAAAAAATACATAAATATAGTTCACAGTTCCCAGTCAATTTCTTACATAGAAGCAAAGAAACAGGTAAAGGGAGATCATGGTTTGTTGTCTACAGTTCAGTTTGTTTCTCAGGAGCAGAATACACACTGAACAGGTTAGCACTCACCAAAGAGTAAGACACATTAGCCCACCAGAAAGATATATTGAAATTAATGCTATTTCAGAGAACTGAGAGCATTCCCTGGAGAAAACAGAAGTAAAAAGCAGCCAAAAATCATCAAGAGAGAGATTTCATGGAAGGATTAAAAAAAAAAAAAAAACACTCATATGGGCCCTCCCTGGTGGTGCAATGGGTTAGGACACAGCACTGCAAGCCAGCAGCATCTGCTTCAGTTTGAGATGGATCCCTGGCCCTGGAGGTGATCCACATGGTGCAGCAGACCTCTCCTGACCCGCCCGCTGCTCCCCTCAGCAATGTACTTGATCCATCTGCCTGTTCTGCTCCCCACTCTGTCTCTGGTGAATCCTCTCACCACCCCTGCACCTCTGACCTTTAAAAAGAATAAATCTTTAAAAAGAAATACATTATGAATTAAAATGTTGAAGTTGAGTGTTCACATAAGAGAAGTGAATTTTTAAACATTTGGGGAGGCTGATTTTGCACTGGAGAAAAAGTCAGGGCCAAAATATTTCTATTCATGTAGGTTTGACTGGCCACATTTTGATCTGCTTTGCATGGGATCTGCATGAATATTCAGTCACTGGAACCCAGAGGAAGGCAATGCACCAAGAGCTGATCCATCACCTACGGACTTAACATTTTAGTCACTCTCTACCTCCTTTATAGTATCCAAACATGCTTTTCTGGCCTCTGACCTTGGCTGGGACCCTCCCCCCCAGGTGAAAGCAGGGGAAACATAAAGCCATGACTGTGTCCAGCTCTAAGTTTTTGCATTGATGCAATTTCATGTAGGGTTGGGTGGTGGATCTTTGGTGGAAAACTCAATTGTTCCATTGCTCTCTATGCTTTTTAATATTTTTAATATTGAGTTCATTGAACATATTTACATGATATCAAACAAGAAAATTTTCAAACATATGATAAAAGAATTATAGTTAGCTTGGTGTTACTGAAGTTTCTCGCTATAAATAGCTAATGGTGAGCAGAGCATTTAAATTTAATGGTGGGGGTCTCCTTTGTGGGGGGCCTCCTTGGTAGTGCTATCAGCTATTAACAATATTGCTGAGTCCAAACACCAGCCAGAGAGCAAACCCATAAATGGCACAACAGACCTCTCCTGTCTTGCCCTTGGCTCCCCTCAGCAGCGTATTTCAGTAAATCCACCTTCTGTGCTCCCTGTTCTGTCTCTGGTGACTCCTCTTACCATCCTGGCCTACATCTCAATTATTCTATACAAAAATTAAATAATGTAAGTAAATATTATGGTAGGCTCATGGGGCTTTTATGAAATCTTTTAGGTCTCCCACTATCATAAAATCTGACCCTATTGTATCATAAACATGGTTCATAGTTGATGAATAAAAACAAATCATGAAAGGTGACTTTCACTAGCAAATAGCTATATCACTGCTACAGGAGAAGGAATCTTGAAACCTGAATAGGTTAGAACCCAAGGCTCTTAACATTTAGCCAAATCTCACAGAAAGGACTGATGCAGGCCTCCTTGAAGCAATTGCGAATTCAGAAGGAGGGAAGTAAAGAGCATCAAACATAAGAACACTACACCAGAACTCCTGATTTTCATTCACACCAGAAGTGAGAATCAGCAGAAGCAACAAATGGAAGGTATTAGGAAAACGCCAGTAGTTTAACACTTACAACAGCTTGTAAGTTAAGAAAAACGGATATGGATAAAATGCTAATTCCTTACAGTGAGTAAGGAAGCCAAGAAATGGATTAAGTCTCAGTAAAGTAGCTGTGACCTAATTTCAAGAGCAATGAAAGTATACGATCAGAGTTTATAGCTTTCAATGTTGCAGAAGTAAAATATGGGATAAGAAAAATGAGCAAGCAAATGAACCAATAAACAACAACAAAACCTCAATAAGCTTATAAATAGCAAGAAAACAGAAAAGGAAAAAAGAGGACGGCAAATAGAAAGCAATGGGTCAGATGGTAGAAACAAATTCAGATATATCTGCAATTATAAAAATAGTGAATAGAACAAATTTACTAGGTAAAAGGCAGAGATTATCAGATCAAACAAATGTAAGATACAAACAATTGCTCTTCTTTGTTGTATTAATTTTTATTGAGGTAATGTTGCTTTATAACAATGCACATGATTTAGAGGTACAGGTTCACACCTCTTGAGATGTAAGTCACCGAACTACACCTACCATCAAAGCCTCATAATTCTCCATCATAGGCCATTGAGAGCCATTTGTTCTTTAACCAAAATGTTATATAGTTAGGTTGAAATTAATATGCTGGAAACCAAATATTTACATAAGAAAGCTGGTAAAAGCATATCAATATTAGACAAAGTAGATTTCAGAATGGAAATCATTTCAAGTTACTAATTACTAATGAGACTTTCAATGTACTAGAAGATACAGGAAGAAATTCTGAACTTGAACAGTTCAAAAGTTTCAGACTACATAAAATTTTCAAAATATGGGCCCTCTCTGGTGGCACAGCATGTTAAAGCACAGCACTAAGAAGCTAAAGCCACTTCAGCGTGAGGTCAATCCCTGCCCCGGAGGTGACCCACGTGGCACAACAGACCTCTCCAGGCCCACCCACTGCTCCCCTCAGCAGTGTACTCATCAATTGGCCTGTTCTGATCTCCCCTCTGTTTCTGCTGAATCCTCTCACTGCCCCTGCACCTCTGGCCTGGACCCCATTTCTGTATGCATAAATAAATAAATCTTTAAAAAAGTTCAAAATACATAAAGTAAAATTTGATGAAAGTACCCCCTTATAGGAGTTACCAAATTTCTCCCAGAGATGGAGACAGAACAGGGACAAAGGAAGGAAGCGAGTGGGGAGAGCTGTGGAGGAGTCTCACAGTCTTGACATTGATTTCAATGCATGAGGCCAGTAGAGTTTGGAGGGGAGGGATGAAATGAACTCAGATGCATTTTAAAAACACTACTGTGGTCTTTCAGCTCAAAATAGTCTCTCTTTAAGACTTGCTTCTTCTGACTTCTCTCACAACACCGTGTCTGGATTCCCTCCTATGTTACCGATTATTTGTTTTTATACCTTTCGTTGTTCACCTTCTACTCTTTCTCTTAATATTGAATTCCCTCGTGCTCAGTTCTTAAACCTTTTTAGTTCTCAGTCTTCACTTCCTAAGTGAAGACTGATTTCTGTATCCTCAGAGCTTTAAACATCCCTCCCTCTAGTAATAATTATGAATATTTATCTCCAACCTAGGCTTGGCTCTTGATTGCCCGTCTCTCTTCTTCTACTGCCTACAGCAATGTCTACTTGGAGGCAAAAAGCCTCTTACTCACTACATCCAACCTTAACTCCTGGTTTTTTTCTTCTACCCTGCACTGCTGTCTCTCCATCTTAACCGATGGAAATTCCATTTTTCCAGTTGCTCTCTCCAAAATTCACGGTATGACTTTTTCACAACCGATATTTAATGCTGCATGTCAGGGTTAAGGCAAGTTTGGAGTTTGGTTTGCTCTGTACTCAAAATATATTTCAAATCTGGCCATTAGGTAATTCCCACAACCCTGGTTCTAGCCTCTCTACCTGGATTGTTGATTGGTTCCCTGATTTCTCCCCTCCATTCCTCACCTTTCCTCATCTCTTCTCATACGGCAGTCAGAATGATCCTGCTAAAAGACTGATACTGTCATTCTTCTAATAAGAAAGTGGAAAGGAGGGTTATCTTATGACAGAAAAATAAACCATGCTAAAAGTGCAATTAACGAAAGGGAGAAGGTGCAAAGAAACAATATTGTCAAAAACATGGTAACTTAACTATAGGCTTAGGAGAGATTTCCAAGAGACATAAGAGAATGTTTTGAATAAGTTTCTGCTAATAATTTTGAAACTCAGTCAAATGAACAAATTTCTAGAAAGTATTAACTAGCAATAATGAACCAACAAAAATTAGAGACAGAATATTCTAAAAATATTTTAGGGAGTAGGGCTACAACCAGGAAAACAGGACACACATTTTGACCTTATGGCAGTGATATTACAGTATAGGAAATCAAGCAACAAAAAGGATAAATAATTAAAAGTCACTGAGATGAAGATAAATGCTAGAGGGAAATGGAACGTGGAAGGGTGGGTGTGTAAAAGCAAGTTGAATTGGCCATCAAGGGATGGCCAAGAAAGGGTTGACTGAGTAAGAAGTGATGTTTCTGTGAAGGTTTGAAGATGAGGAAGAACATAATGGAACTATCTGCAATAGAATGTTTCAGGCCAAGGGAGAAGAACATTCCAGAAGGATTGCAACAGCATAGGGGGTGGTGTGGTTTGCCTGTTTGATAACAACATTTCAGTGATGGTTCACTGCCTACACAACTGAAAGTTGCAACACCACCAAATACAGCCTGTCCCTTTAGCTTCTACCTAATGTAAAATGCATTGATTTCTTTTGTTATCCCTTATCTGCCTCCTCCCAGTTATATAAGGGTAGGTGTTTCTGTCTCTCTTGCTTATGGACATACTAAAATGCCTAGAACACCACTTTGCACATAGAAAGTGCTCAACGAATATTTGTGGAAAAAACTAGAAAGATATAGCCAGAGAAGTAGCAAGAGAATTGGAAACTAATTGAAGAAAGGATGAAAGATTAGCTATGCAAAATGCTTCTGATAGGTGAGGTAAGATGAAGGCTGAGACCTGTCCATTTGAACGAGGAATAGGAGAATATGTTGAATCTGACAAGGAGAGTAGGAGTGGGAAAACTTGACGGGACTGGATTTTAGGAAGAACAGGGGAAGAGAATTTTGTAACCAAAATGGGAGTATAAATAAGTCTGTAGAATGGAGGAAAATAGACAGTAGCTAGAAGAGGAAGAAAGGATAAGAAAGAGGCTTCTTTAAGAAGGAGAACTAGCACATACTGGATGTGCATGGGAAAAAGCCAAGAGAGAGAAAAAATAAAGGCAAGAACTAAAGGGATTGTCTTTGGGGATGGTCAGGCAGGTGGGTCTGGTGTGCGCGGAGGGCTGGCCTCCGCTCGCAGCACAGATGGCTCATCCATAGTAACAGAAGTGAAGACAGAGTACTCGGGCACAGATGCACGTAGGCGGATGGATATGGCCGTGGGAGCTGCGGAAATTCTTTTCTGATTGCTTCTATTTTCTCAGAGAAATAGGAAGCAGTGTCATCAGCTAAGAGTAAGGATGGAGATGGAAGGATGGGTGGTCTATGGAGACAAGCTAAGGAATAGTTGCCCCAGAAATGCAGAGCAAATGGAGTTGGGAAATGCCTGGAGTGCCAGGCAGTACGGAGGGCCCACTCGGGTGAGCCATCGCGCCTGGGGGGCTGTTTCTCTTCAGCCACCATGGCTGCACGTGCACACAGGAACCAGGCAAGAGGCTGTAGCCAGAGTAGTGTTTCAACCAGGAGAGGAAGACAGAGTGGCCATGACCACCAGACGAGGGAGTCAGGGCGTACAACAGAGATGACATTTCTTAATTGCGTGCTGGATGTTTGCATTGTGCACAGGGAGGTGAGACATGAAGATGACAAGAAGCAGTAAGAAGACAGTAGCGCCACAGATGATCGGGCACAGATCATCACAGGGGCAAAGGTGGACGCTAAGGCAAGTTTAGAGTTAGGGTGGACAGTGAGGACTGTGGTTGTGAAGGGTGTCGCTTACTGGGGATGGTAAGCTCTTGATGTGTCTAAGGATTGTGGTGCAAGAATCAGTGAGAGAGCAGAGTCAAAAGACTCCGAGGCCAATTATTGAAGGGATTATGTGAAACTACTACAAATTATCTGAAACTAATACAAATTCTGGCGTACTTATTTATTGCCTTACACAAATAAAATCTTCAAGACAGGAGGGAAAGCAATGTAGCGAGGGCTGGTCACTGCAGTAAGGGGGGTGGGTAGACAAGCCCAAGGGTGGTTGTCAGGGTTCCTCAAGACTGAGAGCCTTACCTGGACAAAGCAACCCCACCCCCAAAGACTAATGCGTTTCATCACTCTGCATGCATTATGTGCAATAACTTTGTGGGCACATCTTAACCTTGGTGCTTAAAACAACCTGGGTTCTCGATTATGTGATTTGGGCAAGGCACTTAACTTCTCTCTCCCTACAGTTTACTCATTTTCAAAATGTAGATGACAATCCCTACCTCATATCTCACATATCAAGTACTTAGCACAATGTAATACTTAACACCAAAACATAGCTAAACAATCAATTACAGCTAGCTTTATCTTTCTACATAATTGAGCATGAAGTCAGGAATGACACTGATGAAAGATTGCCATATGGTATATTTTAAAAATAATGTGAAAAACACATACAACCTAAATTCTAGATCTTGATAGAGTATTTAATTATCATGAGCCATGATTACTTTTACACTGGGATGGGAAGTTGAGAGTCCCGAACATTCATGCAGGTAAACCCAACACTGAGCGTTTTGCACATTATTGTTTACAAATGAGCCCAAATACTAGCACAGAGAAGTGATACCACAAGGATGCACTGTCTCTGCTACTGAGGAAACCTATAATTTTAGTATCTTTATCATGATTTCTCAGACCTTCAAAGCTTAGCTTGAAGACACATAATTAGCATTCTGAATGAATGAGAATTGATCTTGTAATTAATACTTACATTTATTTATCATTCTACTAGTCTTACTAGAGTCTGTACTGAAGATCCATCTAACAGAGGTTCCTACCCCAGTAAACAGAAATCCTGGACATGTTCCTTGGAGCCGGTCTTTGCTAGATTCCAATCATCTCTTTATCGCATTCCCCAGATTTTGCTTTAATCTAGTTCTTTCTGGATTTTAGTCTCAGGAAACCATCGTCAACTCCTGCCTCCTCCCACTCCCACTTCCTCTTTACCCTAGATTTTCTGGTTTTTCGCTACACTTTGGCAGAGGCATAACTCAACCACTAGGTAGCTGGCATGGGATCAATCTCTCTCTCCCTCTGTCTATCTCAAAAGAGCCTGAAGGGTGATAAAGGTTTCAAGAGATACAACTACTGAGATATACATCAACAGTATGCATGCCATTCAGTTTCAAATATATTCCCCATCAGGGCCTGATGCTGCCTAGAATTACCATAAGTAATATTTTTGCTACATCTCAGGATTAATAAGTAAAAAGCACAGTCATATTACAGAACATTTTCTATATGACAACACATTTAAATCAGACTTAACTATTCTATAGCAAGCAAACACTGTTTTTCAAACACAATGCACCATACAGTAAACCTCAAACAGTCACAAATGACTAAGAGATCGTCCAGGCTTAATCCTATCACTGACTTGAGATTTGGGTACCTGTTCCCCTCAGGCCAAAAACTGGCACATGGTACTGGTGTGTATTTGCCAAGTTAACACATCTACCTCACAACTGACATACCTTCTGCATGTGTTTTAAAGCCTGTAAGTGACTGGTTTTGCTTGAAATATTCATGGCAGTTTAAATAATTTCAACTGCTAAATGCTTTGCAAGAAGGAATACCATTATGTGACATTTACACCATGTTGTTAATGTGTTAAAGTGGCATTATCAGTGTCACCTTGTTTTAGTATTTCCCCCTATTTTTAATATACTGGATGTGTCCACGTACAAGTGGCCCAGGCTTTTCTGTACCTTACAGAAGCCTGAACCTGGTTCAACCCCAGAACACCTGAGAGGACAACAGACTTTTCTGAATCAGCAGGATAGATGCCTCGGACCAAGAGCTGAAGAGGCTGCCTCTCCAGGCCACAATGAGAGTGTAATGATGGGACATTCTCCAGCCACAAAGCTTACCTTGTGCTGCTCAAGCTTCTGCTGTATTGTGTTGGCTGTTTCCTCATGGACCTGCTGAATGGTTATTTCCTCCCTCAGAGCCACCTCTGCTCTATACAACCAAGCACCTATGGTGCCCAAAGGTGCAGGAAGAGACTTATCAAGCTGTATATGCCAATCAAAGAGCTGAAATTAAAAGAGAGAGGAAGGAATGACATATCTCTATTACAGAAATCCTTAAGTTCCCCCTAATGATTTTAGAGTCTACGTAAGACCTTATAATCATAATTTTGGCTAAAATAATAAGTATCAAATAAACAAATATCTGTGTTCTAAGTGTAATGCTTTTGGGATGGAGAGGAAATTATAGGTATAAGAAAAAACTGTAATACTTCAAGTATGACATAAAAGGATAGCACTAGGAGACAAAGCGATTTCCCTAGAGGAACAGCATAAAGCATCTACTGGGTTTCAGTTTGGTTCTTCTGAAAGGGAAGGAAGGGACTGGGCTTGCTGACGAGTTTAAGGATGTAGTGGTTAGACATCAAGTGATGTGTTCCCTTGCAAATCTCCCGCTGGATCATTGTGAGAACCCATTGGCGAGAAGAGTCATCTAGACATGTCCTGAGAAAGATGAATATTCAGGATTCTTTCTTTAATAATGTCATTCCAAAACCCTCTCTTCCACTTGATACAATCCCCCAATCTCACTTAATTGGGATGCCAAATGGGACAAGTAGGTGCTTGGGAACAAACCAGTTCTTTGATAGAATTTATGGGGAAAAAATGGACTATCCGATGAAGAAAATAGGGTAAGCTGACAAAACAGGATTTCCATTAGTGACAAGTTCAGGGGTTATGAAATCTTGGCCTTGAAACTTTAAACTACTGATAGGAAAGTTACTAAGCAGCTTTCCATGAAGCTCATGAGAGACTGGATAAGACAGCACGCTTAAGTTAAAGAATATCAAACGGAATGTAGGCAGAGTATGAACTGTCGTGAAATGTGGTTATGGAACTAGGAGACAACGATCCGCGCAGCATCCGCGCAAACTCAGTTCTAGACAATCCGGCATTAAGCCGCATCAAGTGCGAAATAGCCCTTCTAGTTAACGGGGATATTATGCTGTGGAGCAGGAGGGACCGGAAAAAAGCTAACCAAGCACTTCACTAACTCACAGGAGACACTGAAAAGAGGGCAAAAGTGGCCCCCACGGGTAAGCCTGCCTATAACACAGGGGCAGGCCGAGCTGGTGGGCTACAGCTGTGCAGAAAAGATGGCGGCACACAGTCTTGACTAAATTACCGAAGCCCCTCTGAGATGAAGCCTGGAGCACATACCCTGGAGGATACTCTTTCCCATGCCTGTTTCACCAATGCTTGGTCAAGTGACAACTTGCCATCCCGATGCAAGGGCTGTATGAGGTGTTCAATCTGTTTCCTTTTTATTTCATATTGAACTCTGAAGTGCTTAAATGACTAAAAGAGTAAAAAACAGCAACAACGTGGCAATGAGTCAAAAAAGCAAAAGCAAAGGAAACCACATTTCCTCAGGAACAACGCTTTTTGTTTGGATACCAGTGTATGTTGTGGTAACTAAAATGGCAGCCATGTTCCTAACAGCAGCAACCACTCAGTAAGGGACGAGCTGTCTGTGCGTTCCCGCCTCTGGCTCGTCTGTAACCATATAGCAGAGCCAGACGCGGCTGTTGGTAACATAAGCCAAAAAGTGGCTTGGCAAGGACTAGTGGAGACAAGACTAACTTTCAGGGTTTTCATTTGTTGTTTAATAATCTTCCTCCTTAGGAAATAAAACTCTTAAGTACACACTAATAATTAACATTATTGCTTTATTTCAAAGTATCACCTAATTTACTGAATTGCACCTATCAAAATAAGATGGGAGATAATTAAAGTTGTATTTAAATAAGCCTATATAGGAAGCGGATTACTTATGGGATGTCATTTCCATAACAACCTTTTGCTGTAATTTTATGGTGTTAAAAATTAAAGTAGCACTTTCTGATCACAGTGTGGGTAACATAGATGTGTAATATTTAAAATTGACCATAAGCCTAATAGGAAAGCTTACTAAGCCTAAAATACTAAGCCTAAAAGAGTAATGACTTTTAACTTAAGTTCTACATTTTTATATCAAATTATCACATTCTAAAATATGACTTGAAGTCCCAATAGGAATTGAAAATGCCAGCAACTTTGTAATTATGCTAATGTGAACAAGAACTGCTTTACAGACTCTCACTGATAGCACATGTAAATAAAATCCTAAGTCTTAAGTAAATATATAAGTTCACCTGGAGAACACTGGGGAGAGATGGTGAACTAACATAAACCTTCTATTTCTTTTAATTTAATGTAATTAAAAAATACCAAAACAATGTCAAAAACCAGTCTTCAGATCTTTACCCCACAGAATTCTTTCCATGGAAAAAGTAGAAAACACACAACTGATTAATGAATAGAAGTAAAAAACGCAGATTATGTAATAAAACACACAGATGAAAGAAAATGTTCTCTTTGTTCACATTTAGCTGGTTTCTAACCCTATTTTTTAAAACTGGTTGATCATCTTTGAACTGAACGGTTTGTTTCTGTTTTGTATATTCTAATCGGTTGTTTTTCTATTGTAAAGTAACATCAGTCTAACAAGCAATTTTATAGCTTGGAATTTATTTTTTGATGATTTATGCTAAAATTAAACTAAACAACAGACTAGCCATATTCACCCTTTTATTGAATTTCTATTCTCAATTTACTGGTCTAATAAGTTTTTTGTTTTTTGTTTTTTAATAAACCCCTGTCCTAGGCACTGTTCCCCTCAGCGGTGTATTTCAGTAGATCCGCCTGTTTTGTTCCCCCACTCTCTCTGGTGAATCTCTCACCCCAGGCACCTCTGGCCTGTACCCTCGTTCTTGTATGCATAAATAAAATTATTATAAAACATTTTTAAAAAGTGGAACATGTCCTAAAAAATATAATTTTGGGAAAAAAAGATTGTATTGAATTTCAAAGCAGATATGTGCAGACACACAAGTATCTATGTACTGTTTTACAAAGATCAACAAGTATAATAACAACAGTATCACCATCTAAATGCAGGCACGCTTCACACATCTCAGTCTATAAAATCACACACTGATGCCACAGCTGACTACTTGCCTGCCATGTTGAGTCTCTTTGTATGGTTGGAGAAAATGACTGTGACATAATGTAGACTGGATGTATTTTAGTTTGCTACTAAAATGCAATGCCATTTTAAGTAGGAGAAAAATGTCACTGTGCACAGAACAAATCACAATTTAATTGGCAAAACTGGTTTGAAAACGTATTGTTTTCAATGTGGAAATTTAGAAGCAGAAGGGCAGTTAATGACAACGTAATGAGACTGGGGGCCCATAATGACAATAGCAGGAACCCTTGTCTCTGCTTGAATGTCTTCAAGGTGCATAAGGTCGTTCACAGAAGAAATTGATCCTGCTAACAGGCCCATTCCCAATATCCATTTGCAATCTCTTACTGAATTCAGCTTGTTCTATCATAATGTTGACATTGAAGTGACTTCTAGTAAATATTTTTGTTATGTGACATCTGCATAATCATGAGTTCTCCAAAAACAATGACTAGATGTCTGTGTTCTGGGTCACTACAAGATTGAGATTTTGAGAAGTCTTAAAACTCATCACTTTATATACAGTGTGATGCATGATTAATTTAAAATTATCCATTTACACAAAAATACAATTATTAAACAATATTTAAACTGTATTTCTTTAAAGACTTTTCTTGTAAATTTTATTTGAAAGAGTAAACAGCAATTAAGTTATATAAATAAATCTAACTCATGAAAAACTTTCGAAAACTTGAAATCTCTTCACCACACCACACCACATTACCTGATATTTATCCTGAAAGTTTGATTCTGCCATCTGTGCCCTTGTCAGATCTCGTTCAAACTGATCTATCCAAACTTTTGTCTCCTTCAAAATTAGTCTATCTTCTCTCTAGAAACCAACAGACATTACAGATTTAATGCTTATTAATACCTGGCTGATACTAGAAGAGATGATAATTAGTGAGTTCCAATTGTCACTGAACATGCTCCCCCACCCCCACCTTAAACCCTTTTGGAGAACAAGAAGCAAAAGTTGAGTCTAGAAAAATATTATATTATTATATTATTTAATATTTTTGAAATTCATCTACCTCCATTTATCCTCAAGAAACACTAATTAAGAAAATGTGTTCAAGAGGGAATGTCCTTGGTACAAAAATGCTGAGAACAGTTGATGGAATGGAAGAAATCTATGTCTATGTTTACTTCTCAACCCAAGGCCCCTGGAAACTCAGAGGAATATACTAGAAGAGACAAATACTGACTGAATTTGAGGAACTACAGTCCCAGAAGTATTAAACTACTTGTGTATACTATAAAAATATTATTCAGTATTATCACATTAGCTCCACATGTACAGAAGACATTTTTCTCATTCTGTGTATAGTTTAGAAGGTTTGTGAAAACACAGATTTCTGGATACCATCCTTGGCCTTTTCAGTGCAGTAGATGAAGGTTCAGGCTGAGAATTTGCATTTCTAAAAAGTTTCTAGATGACTCATGTTGTTTGCCCAGGTACCACTTTAGGGACAAGTTTTGAGCCCAAATATTCACCAAATGCACTTAGAATTTATTTCTCCGGTACCTTTTCCACCCCTTCCCCATATTATAAACTCTTTATGTATCTTTTCTTCTTCTAGCCTAACAGAATCTGGTAGCCACCTTTCGGCATATAATTATGAACTAAATGACTGATTGGTAACAGATTCAACAGCTCCAGCTCTTTCTGCAATGAATCCTCTGGAAGATCAGATGAACATGATCAAGACATAGCTTTATCATTTGCTGACCTTCATGCCCATAAAAGTAAAAAAGACATTCTGTGACCTCAGCGGAATGAAACACTCTGGTCGATGTGACCACTTAGTGGGGATTACCACAGTGAGCTGCCAAGGACAGTCATCATTACATGTTTGTCACCAATTTAAATCATGTCTCACAGTCATCTGAAAGGCAGAATTAAATTACTAAAGTAAATAGAGTCTATTTAGTAAATGACATTTTTTTCTAGTGTCAAATGTCAGGTAAATTGCAGTAAGGTAAAAGGAGATAGCTATTTACACACTCAACTTTGTCCCTTTTAAGAGGAAAATAAAGTACAAGGCAACGCTTGGCTCCAGAACCATTTATCATAGTGATTCTTCTTCAGTTGGTAATTTTCACAAGTCTTCCAATAGACAGGGGTTTATTTGCTGTAGAGGGCCACCAAAATGTCAGGTAAAAGGTCAGTGTTTTTCTTACTCTCTCACTCTCTCACACATACACAAACACATTTTTAGGTTTTACAGCATGTTTCCCTCTACACCCACACATATGTAAGCTCATACTTCATGTAGCATGAAATAAAAAGTTAATTTAACATTTGAGATATGAAATTAGTTACTTCAAGCTTTTTGCTCCAATGTTAGCATAAGGTGTCTAGTGTTGTAAGTTGCTTAACTTCAGATTTAGATGGATTATAAAGAAAGATGGAAAAAATTGAAGTAGAGGATAATTTAATCATGGGAAAGAATTCACAGTCATTAATTTCATAAGCATTTTTCGACCATTCATCATATGCTATGTGACACAATAGTGCATAGAGACGTGATAAAATAGCATTATGAACTATCTGAATGCTTACCTTTCTCCTGTTTGTTGTTAATTAGTTATTACAAATTAATAATTTCCTGATTGATATAAAAATATAAAAACACATATGTGACTTAATTTCCATGTCACATATTAAAAAACATAATTATAAATTCTTCCCTTTATTCATGTTAGTATTATTAAGAAGGAATTAATTGATGCCATCTTATAATTAAAAATTAGTGAGAAGTCTAAGGGAGTGGTTTAGACAGTAACATTTAGTGGCATGTATATATGTTATTGGCTCTATTAGGAAGGGGAAGGAAATAAAAGAACAAATACATGCAGAAGAATAGTTGTCAGATATGGGAATTAGGATGTTTAGAAGGGGGGTCATTGATTCAAGATGGCTTAAATCTTACCTTCAAATTTTGGAAAAAAATTTCAAAAGATGGGAAACCTGGAAATATTTCCTAACAATATGAAAAAGATAATATATAGAAAAATAATATCAATCAGGGACAAAATTATATAGGAAACAAAAAAACCAATAGAGTGTCATCTGCCTGTAATAAATAGACAACAATTTGAAGGGTAGAGATATTTTCAGACACCTTTGTAACTTTAAACAAGATGAAAATATTTGAGTCCAAAATAACAATGGAGTTTTTCAACATTTGATGCTGTGAGTTTAATTTGTAATAATTCCACGGAGCCCGTTTTATATGTGTGTGTGTGTGTGTGTGTGTGTGTGTGTGTGTGTGTCTTGAATATTAAAGATTTTAAAAAGAGAGCCATGTAACAAGAGGCATATGACACGTCTTTTCTCTATAAATGGAATCAACACACTCATCTCTGTAGCCCATTACAATTCAGACCTGCTGTGCCCCTGAAAACACTCAGCAACACTTGTTGCAGGGGAAGAAGAAATGAACAAATAACGGAGAATTTAATAGGCCTATTTTATTCATGACTGAGTGCTAATTGTACAAAGAATACCCTTAGAGAAAAAGTTTCTTTACCAATTTTCTTAGTTGAAGTAATAAAAGTATAACAATGTCTATTTCTAAGAAGGAATCAAGATTTAATATATACCTCTATGGGATAGACACTGTTATAAACAAATATGACTTCAATAAATAATAGTAGTAATAAAATTAGCATCTAGAAAATATTGAAGGAGGTATAGAAGTCAAGTGCTTACATACTAGTAAAATCTTGGTAGATGTGTTGATGACAATATTTTTATAAAATGAATTAAAAAACCTATTTATTAAGATCTGATTGGACAAATACTGAGATAATGACATCAAAATCCCTAATGTTTATAAAATCTAAATGGTTAAATAGTCATCATTAGGTGGCCATTTAGCTTTACAAAACAAATAAAAAGCCCACATCATAAATATGATCCTTTTCTTATTCAAATAACTAGTTTAAATGCTTACACCCTACATTACACATATCACTTTAAGAATGCTTACTGTAAATTTCCCTTAAAGTTAATCCCGAAGAAATTATGTGCATCCTTTTTTTAGGGGTGAAAAATAGAGAATTTTTAAAATTCAGAATTTATTTTCTAGATAATGAGACTAATATTTCCCTAATAAAGTTCTCTTTAATAAAGTATACCAACAAGCTTATATCAGGAATGTGTGTCTTAAATCCCAAGGGTCTTTGCATTAAACTCATGCTTATGAGCACTAACAAAAGCATCTCCTTTTGTTTCAAAGATGTTTCTAGTCACAGAGTTTTCTCATTGCGGAAATGTCTACAGTCAGAGAAATGGAAATAGTATAGGCTCAGAAAATAGATCAGAAATAAGCCCAATGGGTACTATAAGGACATTACATCTGAAAACAGATGGAAAATGGTTTTCTCTATACTTTATGGGACAAGTCTAACATTTTCTTATAGTCTCTTATTTGCACAGCAGTGTCCACAATTGATTATAATCTCCAAAATCTGAAAGCCCAAGTAACTCTAATGCAAATGTAGGACTAGCAATGACAGTGTTTGCTTTGCTGTCTGTGGTGTTACTTTGAAAGATTCACTTGACTAACCATGGAAGTTACACTGGTTATCAATATTTCTTCCTGAATCCTGGCAAGAAGCAAAACAGGTTTCCTGAAACTATAGTGCTGAGGAATAAAGGATATAGTCTGTAAATGCCAGATGAACCTCATCAGAGTGACCTTGGAAACACAAATTTATTTCTAAAAATCATGGATTTCTGCTGTTGCAGTAACACTTCCTATTTGAAAAGTTGGGGTTATGTTTCCTGGTCTTTTCCAACCTTTCTCTATGTCTATTCCAGAATTGCATTTAAAAATGTTTGCTTTTCAGTATAACTTCAAATTACTATGAAAACTCAAGTTGGGGCATGAACAAGGAAAATAGAACTCATTCCACTTGTTTCCTCTGATGTCTGCCTTATAGTTAATTTTAAGTTTAGCAGTAAATCCACTCTCTATGATAAAAATCAGTAACACTTTGAAAGAATAATATCTGTTGTTATTAAAAAATGGGAAAACAGGAAACCTGGTATACTGGCTGGAGTAGAAAATGGGACACATTTTTTGACAGGATAACTTGAAAACAGATTTCTACAGCAATAAAAATCTGTATGATTTTTACAGAGAATGAATTACAAATGAATAAATTATAAATGAGAATGAATTATAAAATACTGCTTTATTACAAAATTTCTCATAGAAGCATTGCCTACAACAGCAACTGAAGTTTCCAACTAAAGTTGAATAAATAAATTACTGTTATGTATACGATGACCTGGAGAGAATGATATGAAAAGAGTTTTGTACAATGTCAACAGAAAATTATAACATTGTATGTATGGTTCTATTTTGTGGAAATATTATATGCCTAATAGACATAGAAAAATGTTGGAATCGCATACCAACATATAGATTATTTTCTAAGATAGGCTCTGTCTTGGAGGTGATTTCTTTTCATCAATTTTGGCTTTTCTTTATGACAGTGAACATATGCCATTATGTACAAATGTTACATAACCTAATGATAGGCTGACAAATCTAACCAGTGAATAATTAGAAATCTAACCACAGTGGATAATTAGATTAAAAACATACATCCATATGTTTGCAGCTCAGTAAAAATTTGATTTCACCAGATCAAGGTGACCCAAGACTTAAATGTTCAAATATGATGGATATGAAGTTGCTTCAATAGTAAAATGGAGTTTCCCAACATTGATGTCTGTCCTTGACGCTAATCATCAACATCATACATTCAACATTTATTAGTAACGCTTGTTCTGATATACAAATCAGAGAAAATGTCCTTTCTAGTCTCACCATAGGTAATACCAATTATTGACTCGGCTGCTCTCGTATTAAAATGCATTTCTGTTTTTTGAAAACAGCATGATTAAAAAAGCAATCACTACCAGTGAGTGCACTATGAAAGCAAATACTTACATCATTTTCTTGCTCATCAGAGCCTGTATTGTGAATGTCAGGATAATGCTTCAGAAACTGGGCTACGTAGGTCATGATGGACTTCTCATCTGGCTTGTCCACATCAACATCTAGAAAAAGCAAAACCAAACAGGGACATATTCACCTGCTTTGATTGGATTTAATTACACAAACTTTGAATCCAGCTAATCTATCAAAAGATATTGCTTTAAATGCAGAAGAAAAACAGAATTAACATTCAGAGTGAGGGGAGGATACGATTTATGGATCAAGTACATGGACATTTTAGAACTCAGAAAGGTAACTCATTATAAGGAAGAGCTTTCAGGAGAACTGCAAATGCTTCATTTGAATGAGCTTAACACTGATTTCATCAAAAAGAGGAGATATTATATGTTTATTCAGACATCCTGTATAGTTCATAACACAAATGATGTCCAAGTTTCAAGTGGGAAACTGAAAACGGGTGTGGTACTGAAGGACATGAGACTATCCAGCTTGTATGTCAAAGAGCAACCAGGCTCCCCTGGCCTCTGCATTATTTGTTTTTGAAAAGAAGATGCCATATGTTCAATTTCACAGATGCCATGGTCATAATGGAAGATTTTCCCAGGTTGCCGTACTCTGAAAAATCAAGTTCTCTTTGAGAGAGACACAAACCTGAGAAGGTCCCAATTATTGTCACTTTCAGTTTAAGGATGTTTACATAATAAAATCAGCAAAGATATTTATCCCAGATGAATATTATCTTAATAGTATTATCCTTAATATGAAAGATTTTCAACTCAGGCAAAGATATTTATTCATATTTAGAAATAACAGAATGAGAGTAAGACTGCATCCTTAAGACCTGACTTTCACTTTTGACTATTTTTCTTTATTGAGGTGACACTGATTTATAACTCTGTGCAGGATTCAGAAGTATGGGCTCATACCCCTTCAGCTGTATGTGACCACACCACACCCACCACCAAGGCAACAGAGCACTCCACCATAGTCCATTGGGAACCCTCCCCAGTCTGCTCTCTCCCTCTAGTAACAAGAAGTCTACAGTCAGATTTCTAGCATATGTTATTTGTTTGGTCTCATCTGGTCATTTGCTTCATGTGCTTACATTCTACCAATAAGGGAAACCATTGGCATTTGTCTTCTTCCTTCTGATTTATTTGCTTAGCATTATCCCCCTCAGTTCACCCATGTGGTCACAAATGGCAAGAATCCATCATTTTTTATAGCTGCATAGTACTTCATTGTATATATACCACATCTTCCTAATCCACTCTATCCTTGAACACTTAGGTTGTTTCAACAACTTGGATATTTTTTAAATAGTGTTGCAGTAAGCAAAGGAGTACACCTATCCCTTAAGTTAATGTTTCTTGCATTTGTCCATTATATATCTAGGAGTGGAATTGCTGGATCATATGGTCGACCTATATTTAATATTCTGAGATACCTCCATACCGTGTCCCTTAAGTTCTGAACCAGACTACTGATACAATCCAACCAACAGTATATGACGGTTCCTATTCTTCACATCCTTACCAAGAGTTGAATGTTTAAAAAAATCCTTTGAATATCCCTGTTAAACGTAATAAAAATATGTATACAATTGGACATTACAAATATAAATAAGTACCCACAGAACCAAAAATATAAAACAAACCCAAAGCATGCCAGTTGAAATATAAAACCGCCCTAATATTTTGTAGTTTTCCTTGTAATTTGGAGTTATCATTTTTAGAGACCATCAGCATAATTTTTGAAAAGTGCTGCTACTCAAATGACTTAAAAGGAAACACAGATAACGTATTCTGTGATTCCTTCAGTGACTCAAAGCTGCTCTTAAAAACAACAAATTCACTGATGTACAAGATGCCTGTGAAGAATGAGCAAAACTTGATGAGATGGGAATGTGGAAAACAGCCACACGAAGCAGGAATCAGAAAAGCCCCGTGCCTCAGCCTCTGTGCAGCTCATAACAAGCTCATCAGAATGGATACCGACCTATTTCATCTGTTTCTCTCAGTAATTCCTGCTCAGTAATTTCTTTTTAAAATTTTATTTATTTATACACACAAGAACTGGGCTACAGGCTAGAGGTGTGGAAGGTGTGAGGATTCACCAGAGACAGAGTGGGGAGCAGAACAGGGCAGATTGATGAAATACACTGCTGAGGGGAGCAGTGGGGAGACACAAGAGGTCTGCTGCCCCATGGGGGTCACCTCACTGGCGGGGATCAAACTCATGCTGCAGTGGCTGAGGACAGCTTCATAGTGCTGCGCTTCAACCTGCTGCACCACCAGGGAGGGCCCAGCTGGGTAATTTGGGAGCGATTTCATTAGGAAAACACCTAATGTTTGTCAGGAGCACCTTACAAATGGTAAAGCCTTGGATTTAGGCACCTCAGTTTCGGTGCCAAAGAAGCATCTGTCCTTTCCTCTCAACCAGCTCTCTCTCTCTCTCAGAAACATTTCAGCTCCAATGTACACGCCTCTGAGGTTGTGGGCTGGACACATGTGGGCCTCTCCCCTGGTGCTGAGTGAGTGGAGACCCGAGGCTAGCTTAGTCCAGTGGACTGTGGTGGATGATTTAGGGTGCTATATGGGTGTATGGGAAGTGGAAACACATCTAAAGAGGTATGTGCCTACACCCATAAAATATACAGTGGGGCCCTCCCTGCTGGCACAACGGATTAAAGAACAGCATTGAGAAGCTGGTCAGACCACTTCTGTGCGAGCTCAATCCCACCCCGGAGGTGACCCACATGGCGCAGCAGACCTCTCCTGACCCCCCGCTGCTCCCCTCAGCAGTGTACTTCATTGATCTGCCTGTTCTGTTCCCCGCTCTGATTCTGGTGAGTCCTTTCACTGCTCCTGCACCTCTGGCCTGTACCCCAGCTCTGTATGCATCAGTAAATAAATTTTTAAAAATAATTTAAAAGATATATGTACTGTGTTGCAGACCAAGGTTACCCCCCAAAATAAGACAATTTAAAAAATAAAGAAAATCAGAGAAGGAAGATATTCCTGCTTTTCTTCTTGTAGCTTCTAATAGGGTCTCAGAAGTAATTTCTGGGTTGAAGACACACAAACTTACCAAACTGAGGAGGCGAGAGCCAACAATTACTCCACATACCTTCGGGATCCAGTAACCTGGGGATTCCCAGCTCCGTCTCAGCAATGGTGAAAGCCTCCTCCAGATTCTCCCTGTTGGATCTGCTTCTCACTTTCTCAAAGTCCACAAGCTCCGGCCGAATAGCATGGATGACAGAGTGAAAGGCAACCCCGCTTCTCCAGCTCCGTCCGAAGTCTTTCACTTCAACGCCAATCTGCCTTGGTGTGACCGAAACCAAAATAATGTCATGTTTTGAACAGATAACACACTCTTCCTCAGGGCAATCCAAACCTATCCCACTATAATGATACATGCTCAGTTATACCAGTGAACTGGTTTTGAGAAAAAGTGAACAAAAGAAATTTTAGAGGGTAAGAAGATGTAGAAATTCCTACTTAGTCGTTTTCTGTAGTGGATTTTTCTGTATGAAATATATACAATTTAAGGCACATTTTTAAAGGAATTTAGAAAAAAATATCTTGCAAAATAAAAATAGAAATAATATAAAACACCCTAAGTGATAATAATTCACTGCTTTTTTTTTTTTTTTCTTATCCCCTTAGCGTCCTAGATTCTGGCAAGAATTCAAGGGGTTGATAGATACAGCCAACGTGTAGTTTATAACAGACAGTACTGTGACCTAGTACTGACTAATGACATCACCAGACCACAGACAAAATGTGCTTCATCTACAGGTTGGAAGTGATAAAAGAACACGTTTCATATATAGCTACTTGGACAAATTCTCAAAAATATACCATTGTGTGGGAAAAGCAAAGGGTAAGAGGATACCATTTGTGTAAAAGTCCTTCTGAAACACAACCTTGAACCTTCCAATACCCAGTGCTTCCAGAGTGTCTCTGATGTAAATACCTAATGGGTTTCAGGCACAGTTTGGTCTACATTTTCCTTTGCCAAAAGGTCCTCATGTAAAATGGATTTATATCCACAGTCTTTTAAAACTACCTCAAATTATCTCTTAGTGAAATAGGTGGGTTATAAATAAAAGTTTGTTCATAAAAATTCTTCATATAACCAGATATTTTCTGATCCTGTTGAATTTCTTTATTGTTTCAGCCATTTTCAAAAGGAAATATTTAAAATATTTCCTTAAATATTTCCTGTTTTAGAGTATTTTCTTTCTTTGTATTTGTTGAATACACACACACCATGCTGATTAGATCAAAATGTAAGTGATATTCTTAAAAAGTTTTAGTTCTAGGCCAAACTTCTTATTTAAGAATTGTAGATAAAAACTCAAAGAGGGGGCCTCCCTAGTGCCTGGGGGTTAAGCTTCAACACTACCTCTAGGAGGGCCTGAGTTCAAACCCCAGCCAGGGAGTGATCCACAGGGCGCAGCAGACCTCTCCTGTCTCTCCAGCTGCTCCCCTCAGAGGTGCATTTCAGTAGATCCACCTGTTCTGGTCCTATTCTATCTCTGGTGAACCCTCTCATCACCACCCTCAACCCCAATTAGCCTATACCTCAGTTTACCTACACACAAATAAATAAAATTTTTTTTTAATCTAAAGACAAATTAGATAACTTACTAAATAATATAGACTGAAAGAAATGTTGCTACATCACTTACAGAAGTGAGAACTATGCTTCCCTTATAGGGCTTTCTGACCTCTAATGTATCTTCATTTCAAGTTGTTTTAAAGGGACCTGAATAAACATTCTTCATTTGCTTTAATTAATTTTTGTTTTAAAATCTCATTATACTTCAAAGACATTTGAAAACAAGGTTGCAAGTATCAGCTGTGTTAAAAAATTGCTTTCATTTCTGAGAGTATGTACTGACAGCACAGAAAATTGGTTTCAAAATACATAGTTTAATTATCTTGTCTTAATGAAACAGCTTTTAACCGACTTTCCAAATATTGTGATGAATATAGTAAATACACTGACAATTTGGTGTTTATGGAATGTTTTGCCATTTCTTGCCATCTTTAGCTTTATGAGAATAATATAACTTCAACTACAGCATCTCAGATTATAATCTTAGAACATGTCAAATACTGAAGTGGGTACTAATTTTTTTTTTTTTTAATCTCTGAGAGACTCGGAAAATAACCAGGGGCTTTCGAAAAGTTATCAACAGTTTTTACATTACAAAAGTTTATGTTCATCATCAAAATTTTCATGGCAAAGAACAGCCATTGCCCCCAAATCTCTACAATTTATATGTAGCTATAAACGTGTGGTCCTACCAAGAACATATTTTCACCCTGCCCAGCCAAGCTACAAGAGATTAGTAATACTCTCTGGAGACGGAATGTACACAGCACAAAGTGCAGGAAGCACATTTTATTTCGATTTCTACTGCAGAGTCTAAGGAGTCACAAAGCTCTGTTTTTAGAAATATTTTTGAGAGCAACCTGAATTATAACAATACACTCCAAACTAGGAAACTAACAACCCGAAAAAGTTAAATGAAACCATATAAATTGGTAACATTTACCACATCTTTCCTGTGTTTATTTTTTCTCCCCTTATTTTTGCTTTTCAAGCCCTCTAAAAGTAGACCTTCCAAGGCTTCCTGGTGGCACAAGAGATTATGCCTCAGCACTATGAAGCTATCTGACAGCCACTGCAGTAGGAGTTAGATCCCTGGCCAGAAAGCTGGCCCATATGGTGCAGCAGACCTCTCCTGTCTCACCTGCTGCTCCCCTCAGCAGGTTATTTCAGTAGATCCACCTGTTCTGCTCCCCTGTCTCTGATGAATCCTCTCACACCCCTGCACCTCTGCACCCCTGCATAAATAAAGAAGTTGTAGGAAGAAAAAAAAAAAAAATCTTTTTTTAAAAAGAACTCCTTATGCTTAGTGTTTCAATATTTTATGATGATAAGTATTTATTTACAACTGCTTTCCAGAAAGAGTATGACATTCAGGTGAGATTTAGGCATGCAAAACATAATGGAAAATAAGTTAAGTCCCCATGTTATTTAGGAGAATCATACAAAAAGCACAATTTTTATATCCAAAAATCTTACCACTGTTCACATCTGACCACAAAATATGTTTATGACCAACTGAAAACTCTATGGAAATTGCTATGAGAAGATACTTTTTGAGAGGCTAATCTGTCTATCCAACATTATGACATAAATGTAGAAACAAGTACATACTAGAAGCAAATGAAACTAAAAGCAAATTTTAGTCCACAGAACTCGAATTGACAAAGGAATCTATATTTGGGGAAAAAGTGAGACCAAAGGAAAAAAAGTTCAAAATAAAATCATTAAAAAGCTTCAGAAAATAAAACCAGATGCAATTATTTGAGAATGGGAACCTTAGTTCACATTATTAATAAGCAGAACAGTCTTATGACAAGATAATGAAATAAAAAATCTTAGAGCTATATATGGAATGATTATTTGATAAGTAGAAGAAGCCAAATAATAACCTACATAGAATTAGCCCTTGAACTACTAATGAAAATGTAACATAATTAATCAGGCTTCACCAGATGTAGACGAAAATGGATTTATGACAGTATTTTCCTGGCATAGTTGTGGTAATTCGTATTTATATTTTAATTCAAGGCAAGAGTGAAACAAGATCTGAAGCAAAGCAAATTCAAATATCTTCCGATTTTGCTGTAGTTGCAAAGCGCATTTGGCAAGAAATTGCTAACACATGATTGAGAGTTGCAAACGTACATGAGCGCCTGGTACTTACTTGGCTGCTGAGTACTGAACCCACTTTAATAACGCCTTCTTGGCATTGCCTTGGCCCTTGGCGGCCACCTTCCTCTTGCTGGGCGGACTGGCCAGCTCAGCGCTGACCATGCTGTCCACAGAGGATGCGCTGCTGGACAGAGACTGCAGCTGCGGCAGGTTGCTGGTCAATTCCTCAATCTGTGGCAAAGACCAAAGTTAGTCTGAATTGAAGCCACTACGGGGCCGTTGAGAGGTGGTGGAGGAGGTGAGGAGGAAGTAGGGGAGGGGACTTCATGGACTATAGTGGAGGATCTGGGTTAGGGTGGGGTGTGTGCTGTAATAATATACATCTGCAGACGTGTGAATTCCCTAAATCATAGATTGTTGTAAGCTATTGTTGCCTCAATGAAAAAAAAATTTTTGATAAAAGAAATATTTTGTTCTTTCTCCAGAGGACTGATTTTTCCTGTGAAAGATGGTCTACCTAACACCCTTAAAATGCAAGATCTGAAAGGACAGGGCTATGGTCTTACTGTCCTTGTACTTGTCGGATAGAAGAATAAAATCTAACAGGTGTTCAGACTCAAAGACTACACAATATCATAAGGAAACCCCAAGATAAATATGGAGCGTGAGTGATAAACGTGGTTATGGGGGGTCATGGATGCGTGGGTGCAGGGGCTGAGAAGGAAATCTCGGTAACTTCTGCTCAGTGTTGCTGTATACCTAAAACTATTTTAATACATAATTTATTTTAAAAAATAAAATCAACCTAATGGTTAGAAGAGCTATTCTATTGTTTTTCTTTTTCATGCCTAATAGGAACATTGAACTGTTTCCAGAAAGAAACAGGGGATTTTATTCTTTTAATACCAATATTTCCTTTCTATTGTGTCCTGCCCACTTTTCAGATTGAGCACAAGGACCAGAGTTCTCTGGAGAGAGCTACACATCACCTTTACAGTGAAAAAATAAAGGAAATTCTCCTGCTACCAAAACTCAACATATATTTGAGGGCCACATTTCTTTTAGCCTGCAGATCAAAGCATGGCCAATAAGGAGGTCATTCACATGTCCACAGGTCACCTCTCTCCACAACACTAGCTGGACAGACAAGGGACGGTCTAGCACGATACCTGGAAATACAGAATAATGGTCCACACTAGCCCGAGAACAATGGCGGGCCGGCCGTCAGCGATGTCAGTGGAGTTAATGTTGACTAACTTGATCTGTTTGAAAAGAAAAGCATACTAGTGTTGTGCTAGCAGACTGTAACTCATCTAACGATGCAGTGGTTAGCACTTTATTAGACATCAGCAAACGTCGGTCATGCCCAATGAGGGGATGCAGGAGTGAGTAGGGTGAGCCACAGACACAACAAGTGCTTGGTTCCAGGGGGAATTCCAGGGGATTCGTTAGGTGCACACAATAAAAATGACTGCATATGGATTTCAAAACTTCTATAAAACTGGAAGAAAAAAAAAAGTCATGCAAGGAATTACCAAACAAAATGCCAGACAGAAAAGGAAATAATAGTGATTCTTGACATTCAGAGGTTGACTGAAACTTGAAACTGTGGTGAGCAGTCGAAGAAGATGCACTTACTTTGCATTTGTTACCAAAGATCATGAAACTTAGGTTCTCTTTTACCTAGAGGAGTCAGGATGAACAATTCTAAAATGTGTACTAACCGGCGATCCTCTGTAAATGGACTGACATGCAAAACAAAGGGAGAAGATGATATACATACAGCGTCTTGCAAGATCAGCATTACTTGTTCAAAGGGAATAAAAATAGAGGGAGTAAGTTTAAAGCATATTTGGGGGATCCATTTTAGAGACAAACCAAAAAAGTCAAGTAAAAGTATAGTAGAGAGAGAACACAAGGCTCCAGCTCCCTCCTTAGGCACTGAGAACACGAAAACATTCAGGATGTGTGTTCATCTGCCTACAAGTGCGCCCAGTATTCATTTCAGTGTTTTCCCAGTGTTTTCCTAAGTCAAAACAAAATGAATTTGCATAGTAAGTCGATCTCAGTTCATTTCTACAGAATACAATTAACAACTGCTCATCATCCCTTTTGTCATCCCTAAATACATTAGAAAAAATGATAAAATGCTCCTCCAACATCTAGCTCAATAATTCTCAGTCAAGATTTAATAAACTCTGTTACTCACAATAAAGTTCTAAAGTCTGTAAACAGCTTACAGACTCATCAGATTCATTAGATGCAAAATCATATGTCACTCTTGAAAATGTGTTTGAATTTACTATTTAAACATCAAGAGAATCAAGAAATTTTGGTAAGTAATTTAAGGCATATCTATGAAATTCTATAACACAGAAGTAGCTCATTCATCATTCTCAGAGACCGGGGGGAAAAAAACAAACTGAGAACTGTCATGGATTACAAGTGTATGCATTACTTCTATAAAAGCAAGGAGAATGTAAGACATATATCGCATGCTTATGAAAATAAAGAGCACATGTCATTAATCTTTTATGACGGAACCTATTGCAACCTCTAAAAACACTTATTGCTTTGTTTTAACACTTGAGAATTTTCTCCACATTCATTTTGGAATCCATGGACCACAAATGTATAGTCCATGCTCATGTCACTGTGAGATTGTATGCCAACATTTCCTAGAGCACAGATTTTTCCTTTTCCTGATATACAATTCTTTAAAAACAAATGTGGTTGATATAAGCCGAATGTCCTACCACAAACCAGTTTCAGCTATAAAGCTAACATATCAACATATTACAGAACCCATAAGTAATCTGTGCAACTTGAGAAGAAAAATGTTCTTTATAATTATTTTCTCTCCTAAAAACTGTGTTCTGAACAGAACACATAACAGAACACAGGGGTTTTGTGGGGTTTTTGAGCTCTGCTCCCTTAGAAAGTCCTATTAAATTTACATAAATGTTCAGTTTTCCAGAAGGAAAACCACAGAGTCATTCAAAGAGACTGAAGAATCTCTAGAAGCAGGAAGCGGACAAGGTCACACGGGCTAACCATACCTTAGTCCTGCCAAACTAAAAACAAAGGGAAGACAGCCCAAGAATTTTGTTTCTAAATACCTCCAGTTTTGGATTCAGATTAGACAACTGTACTTTACCCAGGTGATCTCGATTCGGATTTTGCAAACCAGAGAGCTATATGGTCTGAATTATGTCCCTCTCCAAGTTCATATGTTGACGTACTAACCTGTCCCCCATCCCAAGGTGACTCTATCTGGAGATGAGTCTGTTAAGGAAGCAATTAAAATTCAATGAGGTCATAATGATGGATTTTGATCCTATAACACTAGTGACCTAATAAGAAGGGGAAGAGACACTGGAGCCCTCCTCTCCATGGAGCACACATGAGAAGGTGACTATCTGCAAATGAGGAAGAGAGGCGGAAACCTGCCAGCACCTTGACCTTGAGCTTCTTGGACTTTTAGGCCCAGACAGTTCAAACTACCTGGTGTGAAGGAGCTATTCTGGTCACCATAACAGATGAATACAATACAGCCCAATGATGCTTCAAAATATTTGAATTACTTGGAATAAAGTTTAAAACACTTTCCATAAAAATCCAGATGAGGTCCTCCCTGGTGACACAACGGGTTAGGACATAGCACTGCCAGTGAGCCACAACTGCTTCAGTGTGAATTCGATCTCCAGCCCTGGAGGTGATCCACATGACCTGGCAGCCCTCTCCTGACCCACCCACTGCTCCTCTCAGCAATGTACTTCATTGATGTGCCTGTTCTGTTCCCCACTCTGTCTCTGGTGAAGCCTCTCAACACCACTGCACCTCTGGCCTGTACCCCAGTTCTGTATGCAAAAAATAAATAAATCTTTAAAAAAAAAATCCAGATGAGGGCCCTCCCTGGTGGCACAGCTGGTTAAAGCACAGCACTCGGAAGCTAAAGCTGTCAGCACTAGTTTGATCCCCAGCCAGGGAGGTGACCCACCTGGCATGGCAGACTTCTCCTGTCTCTCCACTACTCCCCTCAGTAGTGTATTTCAGCCAATCCACCTGTTCTGTTCCCTACTCTCTGTCTTTGGTGAATCCTCTCACCCCATACTTCTGGCCTACACCCCAGCTCTTGTGTGCATAAATAAACAAATCTTTTTAAAAAATCCATATGACTAGCTTTTCTTAAATTAGAAACCAAATGACCAGAAGTATCATCATGTTGCATGGCTGCTTTCTATAATGATGTGTCAGCCTGATCACTGCAAATAGTTACACAGGTAGCCACCTACTCACATTATTTAACTTAAATAAAATATATAATATTAAATATAGTATATAATATGATGAATAATTAGGTTTCCATAAAAGTCCAGATTACTGGCTTTTCTTGGTCAACTGGAAAAGTGGAACCACCATGCATTCACTTGAGGTAACTCTTTTTGATTACTTTTAAAATCATTGGACTGATGATTTCTCTTGCTACCAAAGTGGAATTTCATCTTTTAGAGCACCTATCTGGATGCCCTCGGAACCTAGATTTATGTCCCTTGCCTGCACTATGGCAAGTTCTAGGGAAGGTGGTGAGTGTTTGTTTACAATGTTCCACCTGACATCTTATTGTAGAAAGACACTTGTGGAAAATGGCAAGTATAAGATAATAGATTCACACAATTCTCATTCATACGCTAATGGATGCTTTTTTAAAAATGGTACTTAAACAAGTGGAAAAATAAATACGCTAGAGGGTTTTTTCCATTGAGACTTCATTCAAGAGTGCCTTCACTACTCTACATCAAACTAGATAAGAACCCAAGACCAGCCACATTCTACTATTAAAGAAAAAATCTACATGGAGGGCAAATTTCTGAAAATACAATTGCAATGTAAATCCTTCACCTATAAAGAACATTAAATAATAAGAGGAAGGGACCAAAACACCCACAAAAAGTCATCCCTCCACAATGTCATTTCTTCTGTATCAGTGAAGTAAGGAAATGCAAAAAGGATAGGCCAACGTGTAATTTTCATGTTTATTTTTTAATTTAAAGAGAGTAGTTTGCGGGGACGGCATGACAGCACATTAGATTTTGTTTGACTGTCACAAATATTTTGTCTTTGATGAATAATATATTATTCAAAGTCTGAATCTGCTTTTTTAGTAGGGTTTTCTATGAAAATATACCATCTATAAATAAGTTCTGGGAAAAGAAGACGGGTTCTCTTTACAAACAATGCCTTTCTTAGGTTATTAACTGTTTCTCCAACATGTCAGTTAGTAAGGGGAGTTTTATTTGCATATTCTAGTGAATGAATATCCCTCCAAACAAAGTAGGGCCGAAGTGGGAAACTGAATGACTGACAAAATTAAATAGCCTAAAACACAGGCTTCCTGCAGCCTGGAAGTCCTGTATGACTATGCTGTAGACTGTCTAGGTTTCTCATCATCAGAGAGAAGAGATCACATCAGCAGGGAAGGCTAGAAAAAACCTCCAGGTGTTGGAGTAAAGTCAGAAGTATTGATCTGAACAATGAGTTACACACACAAACATCCAGGAGCGATCAAACCTAAACAGACAGGGGAGATGGAGGGACGGAAGGAGGGAAGTACAGGCAGAAACAGATAGCAAGCATGCGTACTTCGCTCTGTCTGCTGAGAGGCTGGGCCAGCAAAGGAGCCTCAGGAGCAGGGCCCACTAGTGCCCAGATCTCCTACATCCATTCAGTAAGGGAAGAAATGTTTCCTTAGAGAAGTCGGTGACTCAAGGGCAGGGGCTGAAAATATAATATCCACTTGGAAAATCTATAGTTTCCAAAATTAAGGAAATGCTTGGAAAAGGATGGGGCCAACTGAGAGCAGAGGAGCCAGCCTGGGGCCCTCTCTGGCCAGAGGGGGGCAAGGTGAGCAGCGAAATAACAATCGTGGCAACAACAAGGACAAATACAGAAGAGCTGGATTCTAGCCAGCGCTGAAAAATGGTCACCGGTCTGCGCTGCCGTAATTAGTGAGTTGAATGAGTGAATAAAGAAGGGCAGGAAGGGCATCTTTTTCTGATAGAACAAGTGATAAATGTAGAAAGGAGGAGGAAAGTGCAGCTCCGCAGGAGACAAACAGCGCAGAAAGCAGTAAGGGAAGGCAGCTGGGAAAGAAACAAAATAGTAGCATATTCTCGATCACCTTCCCTACTTGTTTCTCCATGACACAGGCAAAGAGTGGCTACTTTACCATAAAAGTGGTCAAGGTCATGTACCAAATGACCAAGGTCATTACCACCAGGATAAGTCATCTGAAGCGTACGCTCAGCCGGATCATGCACTGACAAGAACATGACGTCACTTCCTTGGAATTCTTGCCCAAAATGTGTCACCATAGTCTAGTCATGAGAAAACGTCCTATCAACCCAAATGGACAGCTATTCTGCAAAATGACAACCAGCTGTCACCAACGAGTTCATGAAAGACGAGCAAAGAAGTGTCACAGAGTAGAAGGGAGAAAGGAAGGAGCTAAATGTGGGGTGTGCTCCCTAGACTGGATCCTGGGACAGAAGCACCACACGGGAGGAGATATGGTGATGTGGGGCTCAGGCCTGCGCTCAGTTAACGGCAAACCAATGGTCATTTCCATAGGCTGATATTCCTGTCAGGTATACGTCAGTTCTTAACACAAGAGGAAGCTGGGCGATACGTAGGTAGAAAATTTCTGTATCCTTTTTGCCCTTTTTCTGCAAATCTATCACTCTCTCACCCTGACCGTACATGTGTGTGTGGTGCAGACTGCACTCATGCTTCAGCCCCAGACAGCAACCAGGCCTTCTCTTTTCTCTCTCTTACCTTCCTTCCTTCAAGGAACTTGAGCGCTGTGCCGATGTTAGCCACAGCGTGGATTCGTTTCATGCGGCGGCCTTGTTCGCAAGGCTGTGTAAAAAGGACAAGCAAGAATAAATAAAGCTGCACATATGAAAAAGACAGTTATAACCAAGAATTATCATGTTAGTCCATTTTTCACAAAGGTTAGCTCGTACAGAAACATGTGCTAATCCAAGTATTCGAAGGTGTACGATTGATTCAGTAAAGACGTTCATTCTGATAAAATTGAACTTAACCATAATGTGTATATAAGTAACCAATACCAGGGTTTCTTTAAAATTTCAGAGTATCTTCATTTGATGCAATCAGAACTCTTGAGAGATTTAATATAATCAGTTAAATCTACAACTGCCCAGTGTCTCCGTGTCCACCTGTTAAGTGAGAAAGCTGAGAACCTTTTTGAAAATTGCTTTTAGTTCTGAGAACAAACAGTACTAACTCTTCTGAATGAGCAGGGTACTTAAACAGAAGTAGGGTTCTCATGTCAAAATATATACTCTGTCTAAAAAATCCACCAAGGTTTCTGAGTGCTGTTAGCCAAGTACAATCACAAAATTATATTGACACTTCATGACAGACCTTGTAAATGACCATTTTAGTTGGAGGAATGTGTCTTCAACCTTCAAGCAAACAGCTGAATTCGGGAAAGTTGCAAGGGGACTGGAGATTTCAGACGATCAAGGGGTATATATAATATTTCAATTCACTGACTCCCACATCCTAACACTAAGCCAGTCTGTTGAGCGGATGCAGGTTTGTATATTCCCATGAGCTGTTCCTAGATGTCTTGTTGAGTTCTCCCAAAGCAGAGCCTGACACACGGATGTAGGTGCCCACATTTATTAGGGAGGTGACCCCAGGTGGCAGGAGTGAGGCTTCATGGAGAGTGTGACAGGGAAGGAGGGAAGCCAATCAAGGATTTGCTACCGAGGCTTTCTACTGTGGATAAGTGGGGAACACACCCTCTGAGGACCCTCTGGGACACTCTGTAGAGTAAACCTCAGACTGGCCCTTCCTACAAACGCTGGAGCATTTATTCATGGGTTCCCACCTCCACTGAAGGTACATGGGGGCCATCACCTTCATAATGCAGAATGTAGACCCATCCACAGCACCACATAGAATACATATCTGCTCCTCCCCCGACCCCCAACAAGAAGTCACCCCCAGCTAGATGGGGGGCCCACATGCCTCCATGTGGGACTCCAATGTTCCCTCAGGCGACAGGCTTTCTCTAGGACAGCCCAGTGCAGCACCCACTTCCAGGAGGCACCTGCCTCCTGCCCCAGCACAGTCTCAGCCCAAGTGGGCCAGAAGAGCATAAGCTACAGGCTTGCTGGACTTCGTGGCCCCAGGGAGACCACACCCCAGGGAGCAGAGCAATGTCCACAAAACAAGTCTGAGCAGTTGAATGAGCCGGAACCAAGCTGGCAGGTGGGGAGCACGGATCTGGAAGGCAGAAATCTGTTTCCTAGAGCACGACCTGGAAGGCCCGCGATGGAGCAGCAGAAGCCCATGGCCGCTGCACAGCTCGTTCGCTGCCTCGTGGCCCTGGGGGCTTCGACAATAAAACCCTTGTGAGCAGCAGCCCAGGGGCACAGTGTTGGAGACAACATGAGGCTGGAGAGCCCAGCAAAGTCACCCCTGGCCTACCTGGGGTGGGGCGGACAGTGCAGAAGCCACCAAGAGCTCTGTACAAAATGACTCAAATTAGATAAATGATCTCCATGAAATTAACATCAGCTTGTGCCTGCAACAAGCTTTTCCACAGTTACTTTGTTCAGGCAAAACACTTTTTAGAAAACATAATGGCCCAAGTAATGATGATTGTGTAATTCTTGTCAAGATGTAATAAATAAAGACAAACAATGACTCCCAGTTTGGGCCTGTGACTGGTTGTTATGCAACACTCTGAATATTGTGTCTTGAAAACCTTTTTCTCAATCTACTAAACATCATTTATAAATAGTTCATGTTTGCAAAACTTGCTTCTTTAGTTTTTACTTCTTTTTACTTCTCCCAATGAAATGAAAAAGCATGAACCAGAAAAAAATATATATATCCTATTATTTTAATAATGTCATAAAATATATTGTATGGTTCACCGGTGATATTTTCATTCCGCTGGCTCAGCTGCCAGTAAAAGAGATGATTCCGAACAAGTTGTTCTTGCTGCAGATAACTGAGGGTATCAGCAAGGTGTGAGAAACACCATGGTAATTTCAAGCCCAAGCTTCAACAAACTGCATGAATACATAGAAGAGACCAGTGATCTTTCCAAAGCAAACACTTACAGCCAAACAACTATTTTGCAACTTCTCTTCCTGGATACTCTATAGATGATGCAGAAGTAACCACAATTCACTTTTGATGAAGTTCTTTGCTCTTATTCTAAGCTTGCTACTACTATACACAAATGTTTTGCAGTCTACCTTAGTGAATAAAATACACAGGAACTAGAAAGGAAATTTATTCCTTGCTCCCAGAAGTGGCCAGAAGTCTGTTTCCTTTGTGTTTCAAACTCCAAGAAAGGACTTGCTCTTAAATGGATGACGTTTCTTGACACTTCGAACTCCACAACCCTGCTCTCAAATTCCAAATGGGAAGAATAATTTGACAAGCTTAGTCACTAAAAAAATTCCTACCAGTTTCTGCCCAGACAGGACCTCCAGAAGAGCAAGCAGCTTCACACCATCTTTCATGTCTTCAAACAGGTCCTCTATCACCATCGGGGGCTTACGCTACAAAAGAAAAAATGAATAAATGCAAAAAAAGCCTCTAACAAATCCCTGTTAGTCATTGTGATGAATCTATAGGAGAAATTTCTAAATCCTTACACTCTATTTTGGATAGAATTGACAATTATCAACTATAAGGAGAAAAACAATCTCTTGGAGATCACATTACATTCAAAAAACAACTTAATGTGTGGGCTTTTCACATACACACCGGCATCTTTCTAGAAAGGGATTTTTGACATGGTTGAGATGGGGTAGAACATGAGAAGGAAAACAGGGTACTAACACTGTACAAGATGAGCAAGTGAGATCAAAGCAAACCTAAAAAGGGAGATGAGGCAACTCAGAACACTGAATCGACTTCCCATCTTCCTCTCAGTGCACATGAGCGGTGCTTAACCAGGAGCTGCATAGCCGCAGGACACTCCAGGCTCTGTGCCCTGCTCAGAGAGCACTGTTAGCATATCCACGGTTACGGTCTTCATTGCTTTTAAAACTTCTTTAATTATTTATTTTTATTTATTCATTTATTCATATTTATAGAAGAACTGGGGTACAGACCAGAGATGCAGGGATGAGAGGTCTCACCAGAGACAGAGTAGGAAGAACAGGTGGATCTACTGAAATATACTGCTGAGGGGAGCAGCAGGTGGGACAGGAGAGGTCTCTGCGCCATGTGGGTCAGCTCCCTGGCCGGGGATTGAACTCATGCCACAGTGACTGGCGATAGCTTGAGAGCACTGAGACATTAATCCCCATGGCACCAGGGAAACCCCAGATTTTATCTCTTGCACGCTCACTGGCTGTGTTGTATTTCAAAGTCTAGAGAAATCTAGCAAGTGTTCTTTTACACAGTGACATTGAGCCTCAAGGAACCTAAATTCAAGAATCCAGACTTAGCAGTATGGACCCATGGCCAATACTGAAAAATAAGTCAAAGCCTGTTTTAAATTGGTGAAAGGTCTTTTATTTTTTAATAGTTAATTAAGGTACCTAATATACTGGGATTTGCCAAACCTTGATTTAAAGTATATCTTAACTCAGAAGAAAGAAAAAAGTGAAGATGCTAACTAATATTGCTGATCAGAGGAAGGGAAGTATTCTCAGATTTCCCATAAAATAAGAAATTTTCCCATAAAATAAGAATTTTTCCATCTACAATCTGGACATAGTTTTCTGATTTTTAATGGATCATATGAAAAGCTCATTGCTGAATTCCTGACTTTCAACAGCCTTTACTTCTAAAAAATTAAAAAGTTCTATGTAGAGATAATTGATTGTTAAGGGGAAGGATGTCCTAAAGGAACTCTGCAGAGTCTTATGGACTCCACCCCCTACTCCAGCTTTCTGGACCCTACCCCCAATCCACTCTGGGCTACCCTGTAACAGATCACCAAATGTGTTATTGAAATGTGATTTTTCTCTACCCACTGAAATGGAGATTTTGTATTTCTCTTATGACTGTGTGAATTATAGACTCCGAATGGTACAATCCTAATTTTGAATGCATTTTTCTCTCTTAATAAAGTGCACAGCTAAATACATTTTGTTCTCATGCTGTGAAATACAGGTTCAAAAATAACAGATCTTTCATTTTCAAGCATTCCCTTTTAAATTCCACTATTCACACTCCTTATTACTTATGTGGCAAATATCTAAGTGACTTTATATTCTAAGCAGGTATATAAAATTATTCAAAATAAAATGAGCCATTATAATGCAAACTCTTCAATGTAATAAAGCTAAAATTATTAGCTATATATCGTCATTAAAATATGGTCTACGGGCCCTCCCTGGTGGCGCAGCGGGTTAAAGCACAGCACTGAGAATCTAAAACCGCTTCCGCATGAGTTCGATTCCCGCCT